AAAAAATATTTTAAAACCTGCTGATTACCTATAATATAATTAAATTTCAATATAATGCATGGCAACTGTTGGTAGTTTTGAAGTTAATATATTTTCTTGGCAAACTTCAGTTTTTGACATTTTCGACGGGTTTTTGACGGTTTAAACCAGTATTATACCCCTGTCATGTCAAAAACCACTTTTTGACGTCAAAAACCCAACCCTGGATGTGAATTCTCAATCTCAAAAAAGCTAATGAATTTTTTAAAAATAACTAATCTTTATAAGGTAGTCACAAGAGTGTTGTACTTTATATAAAGTTCAAAGTAAAGGTTAGAAAATATGCATAACAACAAACCTGATTCTGTATTTTATCTTTGTAGGTGTTTCTGTCTTTACTGGTTTCTAAGGACTTAATAACTTCTTCTTTTAGATTTTTTATAAAATCATTGCAAGGATATCCTTCATTAAACTTAACTATTTGTTCACTAGAAATCTGAAAAAAGAAAACAATCACATAACTATTCAAAACAAAGACTCAGTCGTAAAATAAAAAGTTTATACTTTACTAAAAAAAAAAAGGAATTTCCATGTCACATGTTCCACACACTTTTAAAAAGCTTAATTTTTAAAAAATATATTAAAAAAATTTTAAAAGTAAAATTATTCTTTTTAAAATAAAACTGTCCTTAAATTATAGCATTAAGTAGTCCTTTAAAAAAGCACTTGTCAAAATTAAATAGTCTGAGTGAAAGACATTAATATTTTTGCAACACTCCTTTTTTAATTTTTAAATTGGACTTAGCTCGTTTCGAAACTATTCGCCTCATTTGTAACTTATAATCAAGTGGACAACATTAAAAAGATACTTTTTTAAAAAAAAAAATTTTGGAAAAAAAAAATGCTTTATTTTTTCTTACTTTTTGTTCACGGAAAGTGACACTGTTTCCAAGTAATGCCTACACGTTTTAACTTGAATATAATTAAATTAATTAACAACTTAATTATAATATAATTTAAATACAATTAAGTTTTGTCCAAAAAATGAACTAATATTTTGAAGGACAAGATCAGATAATTTCAGCACTACGTACAGAGGGAGGACAAAAAAAAAATGGAAACACTTCTTACAAACATATTTTTTCATATTTCTCAAGAAATAATTAAGAAACATTTTATAAATTTAGAAACACTTTAGATCATGTGATTTCTCATACTTATCAGTTAAGTTTGAAGCTTTGAGAAGTTCAAAAATTCAATTCAAAATTAATGAAAAAAAAATTTCTCTAAATTTGAACAAAAATTTGTTGATAACTGGGCAATACGTACGTAATTAAAGTAGTTCTTTCATACTGTACAGGTAAAAAATGAATTTTTTTGACATAATTCTGTAGTAAATTATATTTGGTAACTAATGAAAAAAGTCCGATTTGAATAACATATAAATTTAAAAAGTTTCAAGCAACTTTCTAAGTAGAAACTCAAAATGATAAGGGGTTCTATACAATTCTTATTTTGTATCAAAGAATGTGTTAGTATAGAAGAGTTTCCATTATTCTGTCCAACCTCTGCATATAAATTTATACATGTTTGACTGATTTTTGTATAAATTATATATACAGTGACTTAAATCAAAAAACAACAACTAGACAAACAACTTAAAACAATTAAGCAATTAACTAGAAGAAATAAAGAAAAGCCAATAAAAACTGATGAGAAACACAGGTTTCAAATAACATTGACACTGACTGAAGTGCCACTTGTAATAATCTAAATAATAATAAATTGATCACTTTTGGTTTAGTCACACGTTAACCCTAATCAGGGTCATTCCAGTGTTTTATAGTTTTATTTGTAACTTATGTAATAGAGCAGAGATAAACCATTTTATTATGTAAAAAAACCAAATGAACTTGATTAGTTTATAAAGTGCATAAAATAATTTGGGATATGCAATTTAAGAGATTTTTTTCAGCTTTATCATCTATTATCAGCTTTATCAAAAATAAATCATTTTATTAATCACTACGATTTTTGCGTATCAACATCTTTTTAGTTAATATATTAGTAACCATATTCAAATATTCCAGCATGCAATGCATCAATGAATTATCAGATGATAATACGGTTGAAACAATACTGCTTTTAACCAAAATAAAGCATTTAATTAAATAAATTAATATAAAAATTGTGTATGTGTCTTGATTAAAAATTGGGATAAAAAATTAAAAATCCTTAGTTACCCTTTATATGTTCTCTGTCTCACGCAAGTTGTTAAATTCAAAGTAAAATATGAATAAAAATTTATATCAATAATTTTGGAAAGCATAACATTCTTCATATTATAATCCCAATAGGATTGTAAAAATTTCCTTAAATGTTTTATGGCCAAAGTGAATCAAATCTTTTTTTTTTGTAATAGCAGCAATTTATAAAGGCAGAACAAAAATAGAAAGTCACTGAAATATCACACATATAACTAGTACAAATAACTTCACCTAAATTTTTTATGTGCCAAAAGAAACCCTTAAAGGCATATTTTACAATAAAGAAAAAATAATTGGTGACTATTCACATGTTTCCTTCCTCATACAAGTTGCTTTTCTTGCAACAGCTCATAAATCACTCACCAAAATTTGAACACAGCACTGGAAAGCCACCAGATCACTGAATTACTGCAGTGACAAAATGAACTCCTGCAACAAATAACATTCTAACAGAACTGAGAAAAATTTGTGTTACATTGCCAATTCACTTCTAAATATGAAAAATGAGCTAGTGATGTGCATAAATAGATTAAAAAAAGCAATATATGAGCTTGAAATTACAGAGGTACGAACTTTTTAAACCTGTGGCACTAACAAGGAATTGGAAAAGTTCATTTCAGTTAAGCACCACATCAGTAAAGCATTTGCCACATACAGTGTAAATATTTTTCAGAGATAAAATTTCTTAACACTCTAATAATAGACTTAAGTATATATTAGCACAACTTTTTCTAATATCATTGGAAAAAATAGATTACAAAAAACTAGTATCTTATTTTAAAGTAAAAGGTTTTCTTCTGACATAAAAAAAATTAAAACCAATTTTAAGGTCTAATAACTATTTTCCTTTTAAGAATAAATGAACCCTGAAATAACAACATTTTCATTAATTGTTAAAACTACATACAATAACTATCTTTAAATGATTCTAGAGAATAACTAATTAAAAAAAAAATGAAGGACAGAAAGTTATAAGAAAAGGAAATCAGCTAATCTCTATGTTACTTATAGCCAAAATTTAATTCAAATAAATACATAAATAACTTACTTCCAACATATCCTGTTCTGGGTACAAATTCAAAAGGAGTGTATCAGTTTGAAAAGTTCCGTACTTTATAACTATTACTTCTATTCGTTGTTCACAATAAAAGGCCTGGAACATTAAAGCTTTTATAAATATTTGCAATACCTTTAAATACTTATGAAAAATCACATTCTGTGTTGACTTTAAAGAAAAACATTTTGTGAACTCAATCTTTTATTTCTAACAAAATGAAATCCACCGAAGTTAATTTGTAAACCTAAAGACAACATGTTTACTTATAAAAAAAAACCTTTAAATACAATAAGCGTAAGGGTCTAAATAAAGATTCAAATAAAGCTAAACTATTTATATGTTTAGACAAAACAATTAAATGCATTTAAAATGTGAAATTAAAGAGTTTATAACACAATAACTTGGGACAAAGATCTATGAATTTTTCAATGCATCAAGCCATTAAAATAGTATAAATAATATAAATTAATACAAAATTATTTTACTTAAAATGTAGACTTAAATATGTTAAGATAAAATAATTAATAAATAAATAAAACAGAAAAGTGAAAAAAGTACCATTTATAATTTTTTAAGCACATATTAACTCTTTCCAAGTTAACAATTGTATTAACAACATTTTTATTTACTTCAGACACTTGCAACATTAAAACCAGTTTAAATACTGAGTGTTCTAAAATCTGACAAAATTTTGGATAATTTATATCTATGGATGTGTGATAAATGCTATGAATGACACTTAGCTTAAAGAAGAGCATGGATGAGGCAACCAATGGCTGAGAAGAATTGTGATACTCACGAAAAAGTAAAATTTCATTTCGAAACTTCTGTACTTGCAATTCTCACTAATTAAAGTCAAAAGTTGTTTTTATTGAAACTTTTGATTAGAACGATGAGAAAAGCATTATTTTTAAATTTTAGCCAAATAAGTCAAGATGCATAAGATATGCACCATAATTTCTTGCATACAATCCGCAGATTAACTGTCAAAAAGCATTTGAAATTGTCACTGAAGATATTTGCTGAAATTATTTTGGCAACATCAGACAATGCGAACTTTTTATTGACTTTTGTCAGACATAAAAAAATAAGGGAATACCCAGTATGAAGTCCCCTTAAACATGATCATGTGTCTGCTAGCCTGTTTCCTGCCGCTGCCAACTAGCTCAGATATAGATTTTGCCAGAGGGAGGGGCTTTGGTATAAGTTATTTCACCTGCAGTTTTAGCAACAAGCATTTGTGGTGAAAGCATGCTCTCCTCATGTTTTTGATTGAAGGATATTATTTCACAGCTTTCTATCATATGAGTTTGACGTACATACTGATATGTAAACCTTAATTACCATATCTAAAAGAAATTGTGTCAGCTATAGAGCTGAATTTAAAGTTAAATGATTTTAAAAGCTGAATCTGGTAACCAAAGTCGGTCATTTGTTTGATGGGGATGAATGAAATGTGAGCTTATGGCACAAAAACAAAGAAAAATTAGTTGCAAGTAACTGTTAAAACTATCATTTTGGCAAGGCATGCAGGCATAGTAAGATTTAGAAATTCTGTTTCATCACAGCATTTTAGAAGAGATAGAAAAAGAGCACAGTATTTCTACCATCAACATTTAACAGAATGCTAAAATAATAGTAGAAAATAAAGAAATACAGAACTTAGCTGCCAACCCCATGTGGTGCTATTGGTTCATGCAAAGAAAACATTTAACAATCTGGAACCTGGCAACTGTGAGTTAAAAATTACTGAATGATTAAGAAGAGAAAAAGAATAAATTTCTGGAATACATAAATAATTTCATTTCAGAAAATAATTTTTTGGAAAGTGAAATTTCCAATCTAGACGAGGCTTCAGTGAGTTTCAATATGCTACTAAAACATTCTGAAGAAACAATTCGTTCTAACAGTGCGCTGATTAGTAGAACAAGATATGAAAAAGAATGTTTTACAGTTGTATTAACATGTGTTGCAGATGATGAAAAAATGCTTCCAATGTTTGTTTTCATATGCAAGAGTGTGCCCCTAAAGAAAACTTCCTAAAGGATATTATGATCCAAACTAATCCACGAGGACCGATGAATGAGGAGGTGATGCTAATCTGCATTAGTACTGTGTGGAAAAGATATAAGAATGTTTTGTGGTGAAGATTTTGAGGTAAGAGCGTTGAGTGGATGAAGACTGCTTGGAGAGCAGTAACTCAAGAAACAATTAGAAACAACTTTAGTAAATGTGAACTATAGCCAGGTGACATTGAAATAGATAATGATGACATTGATAAATATGATGAATCAAACCTTTTTCAACCAAAATGAAGGTTAAATTTATTTATTTTTGATTCTGATGAATCTGAGTTTCAGTGATTAATGTAAAGCGCTTCACTTCATTATATTTATCTCTCTAAGGTAAAAATATAGTATTTTTATTATTCATCGTGTGTTTGTTTCTGATTTTGTCAAATATTTGCAGACTATGGGATAAGTTTAAAACTTAAAATTTTGCAGGCCACTAAAAAATCCGGGAAAAAAATAAGAATTATATGTTGGGAAGTATCAATACTATAGGTTTCATATTAAACTTTACTTACGGTAAAAAATAAATAATATCCTGTATTCACAATGAAATTTATCTATTGTGCCCTTTAAATAATTTGCACCCTTATTCTTAAGTCCTTTAATAAATTAAAGTTATTTTGTGTATTCGTGTTACTTCTATCTTAAGTCAAAGTAAATTACTGCATTAAATGAACTGCCCTATAGACCACTGGATTATACGATTAAAGTTTTCCCTTTGGGTGTAAAGGAGACAATGGCGGATTATATGCCATAGCAGATAATATGCATGAAATTACGATACTTAAATAACTTGGCAACAAGACAAAGTGGGCACAAATTTGTAACCATTTTCACTTAGTCAAACAATAAAATGAAACTGAGGTATAAATTGTTATTACTTTTATTTCTATAAATTTTAATGTTGTAAATTAAATTAAAAAGAAAACTTGGAGAACATAATAATTTTACTATACATATAAATATTTAGACATCATAAGAATTTTCGATTCATATTTAAATTGAAAAATAATCTTTTTGTTTACTTGGAACATGGCTGCTCATAAAATGTTGCAGATTTTTAAGTTTAATTAAGTTTTCGAATTAAAAACAATTATAAATGTTTAGATTAAACAGTGCAGTAGTCTACATAGTAGTCTATTTTTAAACTAGAAAGAAATACTAAAAGAAACTGCTTACAGCTACAATGCAAAAGTAAGGAAAAGCAGATTGGGTGAAAAGAAATTAGCTGTTACTTTTAAGTGTTATTACTATTCCACACTCTTATAAATTCAAAATCAACTCTTACCTGTTGTCTGCAAATACGGGTTTTGTTGTAATCTTCAGAATTAATTAAAATTACTAAACTTGCATTTTTCACCATTTTTTTGAATTCTGATTTTTCACACTGATAGTACTCATTATCACCCCATCCACATGAAAAACCTTAAAAAACAGAATTATTAATTAATAGAATATCTGAACCTTTTAAAAAATCAAACAATATGCATCTTGTCCTATGATGTTCAACCAGTAAATTACTTGGTATTTAATTAACACCTATTCTTAATGTGGTATAATTAAGCATCTTTTAAAATGGTGCCAAAGCTAAAAGAAGTATTAAATTAGGAATGAGATTAATTTTTCAAACATAAAATTAAGGCAATATTGAAAATAGATGTAACATGTGTTAATTACATTACATTATTAACACCCTTCATCAAAAACGATAGAATAATTGCCTCAAATGGTGAAAATTCAGGTGCACAATTTGAATTTCCCATATCATAATAATAAGATTTTAAAAAAATCATGCAATAAACTGCTTAATGATCAAAAAGATGCATGGATTTAGTGCAAATCAAACCGATTAAAAAGCAATAACTAAAAATGTGACTTCTTTTATTTTCCTTATTATATCGTATGAAAATATCAGGATTAAAAAAACCACGCTGGTATCAGTAGCTAAACTGTGAAAAAGTTGGTCGAAAAATATTGGTATCGTCACAGCAAAACTGACTAATAAATACAATTGAAATTTTTGTTTCTTAACAAAATCAGAATTTTAAAAATCATGAGAATATCAATTGCATTAACTGCAATAGAAAAGAAGATTGAAACACGAATTTACCATGGTATAAAGGGCATTGAAATGCACGATTTGAAATTTCCATGTTGTAATATTGTATTAAAAACTTGATCTAATTGTAGCCAAATAAAAACGGTTGTTAATAAATATCATTGATAGAATATTACTTTAGCTACTAATTGGAATGAGCTACTCATTAAAATTAAAAATAAATGGACAAAAATAACAAAAAATGCCCTTTTCTTCTAGCAAAAGGTAATTTAAATATTTGCTACTTTGAAATTACTTTTTAGATTATCAAACTTTATAGTCTTGTGTTTGCACAAGTAGTTATTAATTCTAGTCAAAATAATTCTGAAACTTTTTTTTCAGTCTAGTTTTCTTGAAGAGTCTAAGTTGAATCTTTCTCTAGCAAATCTGCATTAAAACAATTCTATCACTGCATATGAATAAGAACTTAGGAAGAAAAAAAGAGGGTGCTAGTAAGGGCAGTATAAATGTCTTGTTAACGAGATTTTAAGAAAGTAACAAAATTTAAATTTTTGATTAGCAGAAGTTTAGGAAAATTTTATCGAAATATAAATTATTGATTCGTGGAAGTCTGTAAATCAATGGTTTTGACATTTACGAAATCCCATGAATTAGTGGAAATATCACAAGCCTTAATGAACATCAGTACTTGGTTTTACCTTTAGAAGCACCATCTTGTTCACTGCTTGCACTGTAACTTTCCGATCTTTTGATATGTGAAGAAGACTCAATACAAGGAGAAGACTCAAAAGACTGACTATCATCAAAGACATTACAAACATTTCCAGTGTCTGTACTTATAGTTATTGATGACCATAATTCATATTCTGTATCTAAATGTTGAATTAATTTATCAACCTATAACAAGCAATTGAATCATATTGGTCCCACAGTTCAAATCATCATATTTCTAAGAGCAAAAAGAACTAATAAATAAATAAATGAAAAAAAAATCAAAAATAATAAAACATCAGAAATTAAGAATTTTGTCTTTTAAAAATCAAAACAAATAAACAAATTAAAACTTGAAATATTTCAAATATGGAACAAATTATCATTTCTTGCTGATTATCAATGGATTGAAGTTAAAAAAGTGATAAACTTGATTTTGTGAATTATAGATCGGTGCAGACAATTCTACAAAAATTTAAAATGTCTATTATGATAATGTCATGATCAAATCACATTTGGCTACATTGAAATGTAATAGGATGGTTACGATTTGAAAAAGAAAATTTTAACGAAAATATACAGAAATTTAAGAAGGTAAATAATTGCCCGTGCAAATTAAGGTTACATAATTTACAAGGGTAATAGAGTAATTATTTTTGTTACATACTATTAGCAACTCATAAATGATGTTATGCAGTCATTTGTTGATAAATTTTTTGTTACTCAGTTTTTAAAAATAACCAGTTAAAATGAGAAAAATCCCTCTTTTAAGAATCAGTAACGCTATAAAATCGCCTTTTAATTAAACATAAAGTTGTGGTCAGAATTTTGCTTTCCCCACTATTTAATACTGTATTTTTTATTAATACATTCCATTTTCACACTTTCTTTATTCTGCTCCCCCTTGTTATCTTTTCCTGTTGTGTTTAAAAAAGAGATTTCTCTTTAAAAAAAATTAATTTGCTATTTTTGTCATCCCCTTCTTCGAGTTTATAATAAATATGAAGAATGTAAGCATGAAGATCATTTCACCTCATCCCCATATTCTTAAAGTTTTGCTAAGGAAAAATAAACCAAATTATTTTTCTTTTTTTCTGTGTTCTTTTTCATAAATAATTTAATTTGGCAATCTTATTTAAAAACAATGAAGAGATGTTTTAAAAGCAGCTGAAATATTTTGTAACTTTAAACACAATAAATCACATCACAGGATGAACCACCACTGGGAGAAACAACTTGCAGACTATTCTAAGTAAATAAAAGCCATATTTTAATTGAAGAAAAATAATAAATAAGTTTTTTATTTGGATCAATGGAATGTTGGTAACAAAGTTTCAATTAAATAGGATATTACCAAATAAAAATGACACTTGTGATATAAACGGAGAAATCTCAGAAAACAAAACAGACTATAGTTTGATAAAAAAAACATAGTCTTATTAATCCATAGAAAAGCATTATTAGATTAATTTTTATATATTTTCAAAATCTTACAAGAAAAAATTTACAGCATTGTGGTTATTTTTCCTCAAACGTAGGAACAATTAAAAAGGGTAAACAAGAAAAAAATAAGTGATGAAAAAGAAGAAATTATGAATCTGATTAAGGGTCTCATGCCTGTCAAGACATTCTAGCTTTTATAGCAACAGAATTAAAACATCTGTCAGAATCTAAAGAGGAAGAATTGATGTAAGTCCCATTAAGTATTTAAAGGGTGATTTCCCTAGGATTAAAATAGAAATCATAATTGAAGAGTTATGGGGATGAAACATGTAAGTGATATTTTCAGAGTGTCTACAATCAGAGGAAGAAGACAAAAGTGGTATCCAAACTATTTCATTATAGAAAGGATGGCTGGCAAATAATTCTTTGCATCATTTTATTTACCACAACCAAATTAAAATAAAATCATGTAAGCAGTTAATAAATACTTTTTAAAATGTCACTTACTCACTTTAATTTCACTCAGCTCTTCAATTCATTCCTTCATCAAGTTACAAAAACAGACAAAATAAGCTACTTTTTTTTAATAAACATATCTCTATTAGCAAATTTAGACTTTGAGCATTTAAATTTGGGAATTAACCACAGTCTGAAAAGTATGATCTCAACAATGTTTAGTTGGGAAACAGTCGAAAGTTAATAGAGATAGGTCAATTTTATTCAGAGCAATTTACCATATCTTTATTACCTTTTAATCAAATTAAGAAAAGAAAAAAATTACTGAACACAATTATAAAACTTGTTTATTCAAAGATAACAAACTGAAAAAAATATCTGAAAAATTATTCTATTTTATTACTTAGTAATGATAAAAAAAACTTGAACTGCAAGGTCAACTTTTTTTTTTTAATAATTTGAAATTCATAATTTTAAATTAAGTTAAAATTTTACATACAAACTATTGAGAACTACTAAACAGTATAGTTATTTAAAAGACACATTTCTAAAATGTAATTTTATAGAAACTATTGTTCTAAACTAAGGATTTTGTCATTTATTTAAAATAACAATAATTAAATACAAAATTCCCTCATAAATCAAAGTTTTTTTAATGAAATATTTTTCAGTTTGTCTAAACAAGCTTTATAATTATGTGCAAATATTTTTTCATTGATGTAAATAGCTTTTTAGATATGCAGCAAATTTAACAATAAGCGATCAATAAGTAAAATTAAGATTGGGGGTTTAGTCAGAGTTCTCAATGGCTCTGACTGAATTATTGGAACCATACTTTTCCGGTTGTAGCTATTCTCCATTATTTGAATGCAAAAAAATTCATATGTAGAAAAAATTCAAATATGTCATTTGTTTTTGTAACATAATAATTCATTCATAGGCAACTTTATAGTAATTGGTAGTCACTTTTTTGTTGTAAAAATTAGTGCTTCAAACAAACTCTTTGTTATTACTTAGTTAAATGTTAAAAACACATTAGGTACTATTGAGGAGGCAGTTAATTAATTTTTCCATGTTCTCGCTTTCTGAAAACTTAATTTAATGAGTGAGTCAAAGAACTCCAAAGAGGTACTATCTATTGATCCATAACATGTATATGTAATGGAAGAAAATAGAAGTGTAGTAAACGAATATATCAGTTTATGATGCTCTTACTATGGATTAAATAAAAATTGATTTAATAAAATGTTTGTTTAAAACTTATACTTTCCGTCATCTTTTTCACATAAACACTATTTTTAAAAATACAATGGAAGTTTCTTGATAAATTTAATATCTGAAAATTTCACAAGACAGAATGTTGTTACTTCACTTATTAAAAATCTTTATATCTCTCTATAACTTACAAACGTTTTTTGATGAGGGTGAGCACTTATGACAATGAGAGGTTTCTTCAAATTTGATTTATTGAAGGTGGTTGATGCCGGGGCAGGATATGGCATAATATAGGCATCAAGATCTTGATGTCTTGAGGATTGAGACTGTAAAAATACAAACAATTTAAAATTAGAAAGCATTAATTACAGAAGCATAATAATAAAAAAACTTTTAAGTGTTTCTCAACATAAATATGTCTTGTTAAAATCTACAGATCTTTTAAATGAGTTACTGTAGTTAAAGAAATATGGCTCTTAACTTTCAGACAGAAAAATTTTAAAACTTTATACTCAATGAAAATAACAGTTGATCTATGAGAGATATAAGTATTCCACAAGTTGAAATATAATAGATTTGAATTAGATGTTCGAATAATACAGTGACTGCAAAATTCCTGGATTATATAATCAACCAGTTTTTAAAATCAAATCTGCAAGAATGGAATTAACCCAATATGAAAACAGGATAACAACATCCTTTATTAAAATCAGTATTGTCATTTTCTAAAGTTTAATTTTTGTAGATAATATGTTTTATGAATGGAATATTTAAAATTTTCTAATTTTTTAAGATCTGCAAGATGTGTAGCATATAAATAACAAATTTTATTCAAATATATATATACACAGTGGGTGGACAAAATAATGGAAACACTTCTATACTAATACATTATTTCAAATTTCTCAAAAAATAATAGGAGAATCATTTTAAAACTTCAGAAGTTCTTAGATCATGTGATATCTCAATCATATCAATGAAGTTTAAAGTTCTTAGAAGTTTGGGGGACCAACAATAAATTACAAACAGAAATTAATGTTTTGGAATACTCTTATGCAAAAAACTGGAACAAGATTTGTAAGTTATTTTGGTTATTATGTGCAATAATTACACAAAATTTTGTAAGCTTAGCTTAAATATTTATAGGGGTATGAACATTTTTATAAAAAAAAAACTAATTTTTTCGGAGAAATTTAAAATAAATTACAAAACTATTGCTTTAAAATTTGAAAAAAATTAGTTTATAACTGCTTTAGATATGAGTAAGGAAAGTAGTTTACAGTAGTGCATGCACTAAAAAATTAAAAAAAAAAAAAATTTTTAATTTTGTAGGGAATCATATTTGGTAACTAATAAAAAAAGTTGGATTTGAATATCTTAAAAATTTAGAAAAGGTTCAAGCAATTTTTTAAGTAGTTTTTGTACTTAAAGCTCAAAATGATAAGGGGGTTTCCACATATTTCATTTTGTACTTTTAAAAGAAGATTTATTAAACAAGACATTGTTGGGGATCATCCCAAGGGCTGCAAGTTTGTCACGGGAAAAAAGACCCCAAATTCGCAGAAAAATCGCGGGAAATTTTGAAAATTACACAAATTCTAAACACAAAAAAATTTATTACATAAATGATGCAAAAGACAGAAATTGCGTAAATAATAAAAAAAAGCTTCAAAATACACAACAAAAGTATTTCTTTGAATTTCAAGCAATATTAATATTTTTATTTAAATGAACAGAATTTTGGTACAATGTATAGTACATTGTCAGATTATTCTCATTTATCCTTCTGCTTTCATCACTTAACACATTTTTATACTTAGAAAACGATCTTTCTACGCCAAAGCTGTTTTTAGGCACCGACAAACTTCAAATTGCCACTTTTGAAGCTTTCGATCTTTGATTTCCAAAACTGAATAAATTTTCCTTCATCAACACGCAATTCCTTTACCGTTGCTTTGTAAGAAGTAATTGCTGTGAAAACTCAAACATTCTACATTCAAACTACTAGATACAAGTCCCTAGTAACTACTAGTCCCCCCTTCATCTAGAAACTGATCCATATTTAATAAATCACAAGAAGTCGCCTAGGAAAAATTAACTGGATATGTAGAGAGGCAGTAGAAATTTCATTGCCCAGTGCAATAGCATGTATAACAATTTTTCTGTCTAAGATTTGATTTATAACATTTTCCTTCTTTTGTGATTCTAATTTCTTTTGTACTCTTACTGACTTCAGGAAGGTAATTACCCTCCTTAGGTGTAGAAAGACCACCTTAGTTGACAAGAGTGTGATTATCTCTTATCTCTGAACTATTTTCATGTCATTTTGCTATTGATTCACTCCACCAAATATCTAATCAATTTTACATGTTCAATTTAAGGTTCAGGAAAAAAAAATTCTGTTTAATAAAAATAATAAATTAAAAAAAAATAACATTTTAAGCAATTTTCGCGCAAGTTAAGACATATTGAGAAATTCACGGATTTTAGGAAAAAAGATGAGAATTTCACGGAAATCACCGTGAAAATTCGCGCCGCGACAAACCTGCTGTCCTAATCATCCCCCATAGAGGTATCATTTTTTTCACCTATTTTCTTTCCTTATTACATCACATTTTGGTGTAACTTTTTTAGTAACGTTTACTATAAGGTATTATCCTTTTTCTATTAATTTCTGTCTTATAATACAAAATACTATTTATAGAAAACCCTTTAACATTTTGAGTTTTCTTTTAAAAAGCACGAAAACTATTTAGAAAATTGCTTGAATCTTTTAAAATTTTTATGATATTCAAATCAGACTTTTTTAATCAGTTGCCAAATACGATTCACTAAAAAAATCATTAAAAAAGTTTAATTTTTCCTGTGCACGTGCAGTATAATAATTAATTATATATTGCACAGTTTTAAACAAATTGTTTTCAAATTCAAAAATTTTGTGATTAATTATAAATTACTCTTAGAATTTTGTTTAACTTTATTTAAGTTATATTTCATATTTATATTCATTATTGTAATTACATTTATATATAAATTTATTATTATTATTATATTTATATATTATTATATTTATTATTATAATTATATTTTTAAAGTTATAGCAAAAAAACCTAAGACAAAAAAAATTAGTTCCTTATAAAAAATCTCCATATCTGCTTAAGCTATGCTTATAAAACTTCGTATATTTATTGCATATAATAACAAAAATAACTGTCAAAAGTTACAAATCTATTGCTACAACTTTTGGCATAAGGTGTTCAAAAACATTATTTTCTGTTTGTAATTAATTGTCGGCCATTCAAAAATTTAAAACTTCGTTATATGCATGAGAAATTGCATGATTTAAAATCTGAAGTTTTAAAATGGTTTTATTATTATTTCTTGAGAAAAATGAAAAAATGTATTAGTATAGAAGTGTTTCCATTATTTTGTCCACCTGTATAGTTGTACACATAAATGCATGCAAATATATATTTAAACATAATAGGATTAGAAAAATAATAAAAATAACAAAAAATTAATGGAAAAACGTAGAGATTTTCATCAGGATGAATTCCTTTACGATAGTATTACATTGTACATGCACACAAGTAGGCATATATATATGCAACATAAAAAGTTTCAACTACTCTTTTTATGTTATTCCTTTATTGAAATCTTTTTCTTAATTTTTTATTCTAAACTTAACATGCTTTCTCACACTTTAATATTCACATCCTGTCTTTTAATTAATTTTATGTTTTAAGTTAACATTTTTGATTCTCATTAACAGTTTGATTAATTAACATTTTTGATTCTCCTTTTCATGGAATCGTGAGAAAGACTTTTCCCCTTGACCTAGTTTATAGACCAAGAATAATTATTAAGAATTCCCTTATTCCCTAAAACGAAAAGTTTCATGGATTTATTTTGCAAGATTTTCCCTAACTTTTATTAAGGAGCACTTTGATTTTGTGATGCTTGAATATTCATTCTCTAATTATGATGGTTAAATAAAATTAATTTCCTAAAATCCGTTTTGCTTGTTTGTCCTGCTCGCACAACTGCCACCCTAATATATATGTGTATATATATATAGTATATGTGCATATATATGTGTTAAAATATATATCTATATATATGTGTCTTTTTTTATTAACTTCATGAAAATAAAAAATTTATATAATGCAACTTGCAAATGGCATAAAATATGCAAAATAGAACTTTGAATGAGTACTAAACAATTTGTCTTGTAAGTACAAATAATAAATTGGGAAAAAAACTTCAGCTTCTACTATATTACATAAAATTAAAGAAAAAAATCCTTATATTTTCGGTAATGCTAAAGTTTTCAAGGACTTCTTTTTTCCTTAAGAATAAAATCTTCTTAAAGTAGTTCAAAGGCTGTAATTTTAAATGAAAGTTTAATTATCTTGTGAAAAGAAGATTAAGAAAAGCATTAATTGTTTAAAAAGAAAAAAATAAGTTATCAGATTGCTTAAAATATCTACATAAGCTTTTGCTTAACCATTTTGAAATTCATATGCAACTTACATCATATAATGAGGAACTGTCAGGTGTAGAAATATCACATTCAGAACATAACTGTTTTATTTTTTTTGCAACTCTATGAACAGATCTTGGGTTCCATTGTGCAATATCATTTCCCACTAAGAAATCTGCTTCTGTTTAAAAAAAATTTGAACATTGTCATATAAGTTTCATGTAACAGTATATGTATAGAATAAAAAAGCATTATAAAAATTTTTCAAAGATTTGTCACTTAATATTAAATTTTCAATGAAAAATATATTATTCTGAACATGGGAACTATTTCAAGATAACTCTAGGAACCATTTTTAACTATTATTTCAATTGTTATTCATCTATTTTTAAAACAAATTAAATCAGCATAACAAAATTTCATTAGTTTTTTTCTAAAAGTGTACAACTTAAATTAGGTACTAGTACTACTGGTAAATGGAGTAAATCTACAATATACTACTGATTACTCATGTTTAATTTAGTAAAATGCTTTTGTTTTTGATTACATCAGTTTTTAGATCAATTAGAATATTATGAACAACATTATTCTAATCAGTAACACAAGAAAAAAATAATGATTCAAAATATGCAACAAAAAAAAATAATTAACGGTGGATCCAAATTTAAATACTGTATTTTTTTATTTAGAAAAAAAAATTATGGTAGTAAGTCATTTTATGTTAAATTAGACCTTTTTCGGATATAAAATGATATGCACAATATCAATCTTTTTAAAGTTAATTGAATAATAGTTTAAGTTAGTCTAGTTAAGTTATAAAACAATAAATGGACTCAAAAATATCAAAGTGTACTAGCAGCTAACTTTTCATTTTAAAATTCCTTGTTACATGATTACACTACAAGAAGTACATTAATTCTTCACATTCTATAAAACTATGGATGAAATCAAAAGAAAGAAAATTATTTTTTACACTGGAATGTAATTTAGGTTAGACCACCATGAAAACCCTTCTCAGTACGAAAGCCAAAAAAGTTTATAATATAGAACACAGATTTTCCAAAAGTAAAATAAGAAGAATTAGATTCTGCAAAACCACGAAAAAAATATTGATGCCAAAACTGCTTTGAAACTTTTTTCTTTAGCAATATATTTTTCTCTAGAACTAAACTATTGGCTCTATACTCTTTTTCTAGCTTTTGTAGATGCAAATAACTATCTAAGACCCATTGTTGGAGACAGGTCCGAATTAAGAGAATTTGCTTATTTTGTGTAATTTAAAAAAACAAACAAAACAAACTGAGCCAAATGTGAAACTAATGCTTTGAAACAAAGATATAAACCTTGTGCGCTGAATACGTAAGTGTATACCTGTCAGAGGTGATTTTCTCACAAAGTGAAAAGCACTTAAAACTTCATGTGCAAAAACTCGATATGAGGATATCAATTTATATACCAGACATGATTAATATAATTTTTTAAACTAAGATTCAAAATTAAATTACCAACCAATGAAGAATATCACAACTTTAAGGTAACTAATTTAAGATAACTTAGTTCACTTAAGATAACTTAGTTTAGAATCACGATATTGGATTTTAAAACCACATGAATATGGATTGCAATATTGAATTTTAAAAACAAAGCGTGACATTGGATTTAAATCAAGTGAATACGAATTGCAATATCTAACATTTAAATCAAGTATAAATACTAAAACAGATGTTTGATACTACAAATGCCTGAGAATGAAATGCAATATTTATTTTAATAATGAGTAAATACACACATTGGGATATTAGATTTTCAAAATGCTTGAACACCAATCATACTGTGCGATTTTTCAGTCACGTAAATAAAAAAATGCCATGTGTAACTTACAGGGATGAGAGTAGTCAGAAAGAAAAAAAGAGGAAATCCAAAAAACAAAAAAAAAGAAAGAAAAAAAAAATATATATATATATATATATAAACAAAAATTTGACAAAAAAGTGCGATTTTAAAACTTGTAAACCATGTGAATATAAATCCCGATATGAGACTTTTAAATCACGTAAATATGAAACTCTACATCGAATTTAAAAAATGCGAAAATACAAATCATGATTTTTTAATTTTTTGATCACGATGCATAATTTTTAAATCGCGCGATATTACAACCACAAAAACGAATCACGATATTGGATTTTAAGCTCACGTGAATACGAATTGCTACATAGGGCTTTAAAAGCTCGTAAATACAAATCGCGATATTGATTTTTTAAATCTCGTAAGTAAGAATCGCACTGTACAATATTTAAATCGCCTGAATAAGAATCGCAACGTTCAACTTTTAAATCAGGTAAATACGAAAATCGAGATTTGATAATAAAATCGAGATTTTAAAAATGCATAAATACAAAACACGATATTGGATTTTTAAATGTCGTAAATAAGAATCATAATATACGATATTTAAATAGCGTAAATAAGAATCGCAATGTGCAACTTTTAAATCAGGTAAATACGAAAATCGATGATTGATATTAAAATCGCGTGAATAAAAATCGAGATATTTGCAGAGTCTGGACTTGGAATTTCTAAAAAGCTTGTTTGAATTATTTTTTGTTTACACAATAAATAAAAATTTACAAGATTAATTGAATGAGCAAATAAATATTTTCACCGCAATTTCACCTTTATTTTTTTCGCTTTTTTTGTTTGCTTTCACTCCAGAATACAAGAAGCAGCGACGTCTAAATTACGAAAATACGAGCTATCCCGCTGACGGATAAAAAATACGGAAAATCTTATTTTCTGTGCGTGAAATCGGAGAAAATAGCTAAATTAAGTAAAAATACGGAAGGGTTAGCAGATAGGGCGTAGATTGAATTTTCTGTTTATCTTTGAAAATCGTAAATAAATATAATTATTTTACTTCAATGACTGAATTTTAAAAAAAAACGGGATATTTATTTAAAAAAACGAAACTTTTAGAGAATCGGAGTTTTTGATAAAAAGGCTGAAATTCGAGAGACAAAAAACATCTCATCCCTGTATAAAGGTCAACCAGTTTTATCCCAAGGAAATGATTTTTAGAGAAACTTTAGAGGGAGGAAAAGGGACTTCAACAATTTCCCTCCGCGGAAAATTAAATTCCTCATAAAACATTTTAACTTGGGCAAAAAAAAATTTCAGCGGAAATTAGCGGGAAAAATGGAAAAATCTGAAAAAAAGCGGAAATCCGTGGAAGAATCTCATCCCTGAACTTATGATATTAAAATTGCGTGAATATGGATCACGGTATAAGCGGGTTCATATATTTAAAAAAGCAAAACCAAAAGAATTAAAGCCCTTAGTAATTGAAAAATATGTTAAACCTGGATGTTTTAAAAATGTGAACAGTTTACTGGTGGATTACGATAGGCTGCTTGATGTGGATAAAGAGATGAAAAAGAAAATAGCTCTCACATTTGACAAGTGCATACAAAAATTCCATATTTCATTTATTTTAATAGAATATTTCAGTTGGAAAAAACACATTTACGAATCAATTGCTAGCAATAAAGTATATTTAAGATTATTGTAAAATAAAGCAATTATCTAACCCTCTAAAAGTTAGCTGTCTAACTTATTTCATAGGCTAATCATGCAACATGAAAATTTATAAAATTAAACTTCTAATATTTTTAAGCAATTTGATTGATAATTTCTAAGAATTACTATATCTGTTTTAAACTAACATTGCGATAATAACTTTAAAAGTATACTGAAATTATCTACTCATAAACCTCATTATTATAAATTGATTGCAGGAAAATTCATTGAAATGAGGAATTTCTACTTTAATAAAATAAATATCAGTTAAAATTGAATAATTTTAGTAAGTAATTAAATAACTTTTCACAGGGGTAGCAAGAAAAAAGTAAGAAATTTTTAAGTTAATATTAACTTAAAAGAGATAAATAAAAGATTTAAAACTATAATAGAAAAGATAAAAAAAAATTTTAGGCATATATAATATACCACTTATAAAATCCTCTTTTGATATCCATGGGATATATTGTAAGGAGAGAAATTGTATGGCTAACTGATCAGGAGGCCATTTATCAAGGAAACTGATAGGAATGATAAGTTTGTCTTTATCATCAGCCAGCTTAGCCTAAAATAAACAAGACAGTTAAAATAATAGGTTAAAAGGCAATTATTTCTATTTTATTATAATATGCAATGAAATCAGACAACAAAAATAGAATTAAAAAACAATTATTAAACCTCAATAATTTTGTTTTAGAATGAAAAATAGTAAAGTATGAAAATTTACACCATTAATTTTAACATAAAGACTACTGTTTTAGCAAAACAGCTCATAAATTGTTGCAGATTAAAATGTTTTAATCATCTAGATTGCTTATACACAGTTTGTCAAAGCACATCATATTAGAATAACTATATCTTATATACAGAGGGGTTAGGCTGCCTGAAAGGGAAGCTAATGGTTGCAGGTTCAAATCCCACTTGGGGCATAGATGTCTCTCTCTGTTGGGTAATTGCGGTCTTCCCGTATGAGCTGGAATCTGTGCAATGTGGTGTGGGTATTATTGCTCAACTTTGAGGGTTCATAGGTGCCCAACAGGAAATGCTAATTGAGCAACTCCTGTGGCATCTTCTGTGGCAAAAAACATAATAGTTCAGAGCCAGCTGTTAGAAAAAAATATTTTTAATCTTTACCAGATTAAGAAAAAGACACAGTCTCAAAAATGTCTTTTAATTTGCATAAATTTTTACTTCATACTTTATTAAAGAGTAAATGTTTTTGAATATTTTTAAATTCATGCACATTGTATAATTTGAGAAAAATAAAATCTATAAATTGTACTTGCAGTACATTCTGTGAACATAAGATTAAAGAAACTCATAGATTACTAAATTCTTCAAGATTTCAAATAAACAAATCAACAATAAAATTAAGGAGTTAACACACCAGTTAATTTAAAAAAAAAAAGGCTGACTAATAATATAAAATTGTCTAATGAAGTAAGTGATAATATTTCCAAATGAAATTAATAAGAGCAATTACAAGAAATTACTTCTCTATTAGTCCATTTCGTTTCTCCATAACGATTGGTTACAAGGGCAACAAATGCTGTACAATTGTTTAAGGCTGTATTAACAACATCTTGCCAATCCTGACCAGCATAAATGTCATCAATATCCTACAATTTAAAAACAATAACAGCACTAAAAATTTAATGATATAGTAACAAACTGTATTTAAAAAAAATCTTACATAAATTAGATATTTTTACAAGCATAAAATGAAAAATTAGTTAAAAAAACAAAACAAAACAAGATAAAAAAGTGGGACGGTCCACTCATCCTTTGGTCAAAAGTTGGTAAATATTTGCAGCAACTTATTTCTCCCAGTGAAATATACTCCCAACTATCGCCAATAGATAGCAGCCAACCGAGAATTTTCCACCCTTGAAAAACCATGTAATGAGGATTGAATCTTCTTTCTAGTTTGAATCGGTTCTGTAGCACCAGAGAAGTAACCTATCCTAACCTTTATACCTTTTAAAATCCCACTTTGCCCTTTGTCCGGTTTTTCGTCGCATATAGTTTTATCAACCATATAGTTAGTAGCACATACTTTTTTCTCTCTTCGGGTTCTTATTTTCTAAAGTTATGACAGATTACTTAAAAAAGAAAAAAATTTCTTTTAGTGCATAGTTTAAACTTTAAAGTTATTTCCTTTAAGGAGACTACAAATAATTGTGCCCCTTCACATCAATGAAAAATTGAACAGTGATTGGGAAAATAAACAGGCTGGGTTCTAGATAATTCCAAAATCAAAAAGAGCCATGGAACAGCTTATTCCTCTAAGATTAACAGTATAAAAAAAATAGTTAAGTTGTACTAGTATTGAAGCTAACATAAGATGGGCATTCAAAACAAGCAGCAATTTTTGTGCATCAGCATGTTGGTGTCTGTGGCTAAGTGGTATAGATTACCACTGTGTTTCCTTCTGGCATACTCATTAGCATTGGCAAAAAAGGGTGGATAAACAAAACCAGAGCAGTGAAATAAGGGAAAAATGTGAGAACAACAGGCCAGGAACCATATTGAAGAAGAAATTCCTTTTGGGTGTGGCATATGTCGGTTGCGTACCACTGTCAAGAAGTAAAAAAAGAGACGGTAAGTTAAAAAAAAACATTGCTTGTGGTCATCCTAGGAAGGTTGGCATTCATTCTTTAACCACGAGATATATGCTTTAATAAGCCTTTTGAGGACAACGTGAGAAAATATTGGGCAGATTAGATAAGTTTTGGCTTGCCTGCAGAAACAAAAAGAGGAAGTCTAAGGAAACCAAATATTGTTTTGATTGTGCAATGGGTGAAGGATGCTTGGGAAGCAACACTAAAAAAATGGTAACTAAGTCATTAAAAAATGCTGTATAAGTTATCCACTCAATGTTACCGAAGATGATGTGATATATAATGATTCAGATGAAAGCACTCTGAAAATACCTACACAGGCACTGAAGTTTATGATGATGCACTAATGGCAGAAAGACTTTAACAATTTGGTGAATCTGACTCAGAAACGAACTTTGATAGATTCTGATATCAAAGTGTATGTCAAATTAATAATTCCTTTTAAACTTCGAAGTCTTCTTAGTTTCTTAATGCCTGGAAAAATTTATGAAAAAGAAAATTTTTGATTTCCCTAAATAAAAGAATGGCCGACTGGCCTGTGAAGGGGGCAGGGAACTGTCCTTGCATTAGAAAGGTTCTGGGATCGAATCCCGAGCAAGGCATGGTTGTTCTTTCCTTCTCTGTACTATCTGTCCGCACTGCAGGAGCACTGTTGGCCCACCTAATATGGTGCCCCTGAAAGAGAGGCCAACAAAATTACCCTGTAATAGCCTGAATTGACGGATGTTAACAGAAGTGGGCATTGGAAAAAAAAATCTTTTCAGAATGGGGGCTAGACTTATGCGCGAGCATATATGGTACACATATGTTACAAAATACAAAGTTCGTTTAGCAAACATTTTATCAGAGTAATCATAGTTTGATCTCAGTTTTATAATAATCTTTTCAATCAAAACAATTTCTTTGACATTCTTACCTCAGTTCATGTGGGGTATTAATGTGTTCAAAAGCAAGCTCAGACATGCCATCCTGAGACAATGAAAACATACAGTAATAAATTCAAATAAAAAAAAATAATAAATTACTTTTATTTACACCCATAGAAATTTTAGCATTAACACACATTAATAGTGATAAAATTTGAGAATAATGCCTCAAACAAGAAGAATTTTTAAAACAGACAGATAAATTTCGACCAGCTGATATAAGAAATTTCAAAGCCCACTGAAGAGTGGACTATGATGTCCTAATAAAAACAAATTTCCATTCATAAAAATCAAAGCTGGAATTTTAGGTAAGATAATTACAAGGTTGATCATGCACCAATGCACTTTAAAATTTATTGTAAGAAGAAAACTAGGTGTTAAAATTTTTCTATGTAACAAAAATAAATTCATTTCAGTATGTGAATTATCTTTTTGAAATGATAATAGATCAACAAATGATAATAACCATGTAATAACAATTAAAACAAGTACAAATATATCAGGATTAGATGCAAATACTAGAAAAATTTTTTAGGCAAAAATAATGAGAAACTATGCACATTACAAATATTTAAGAACATTCCCAAGATACTTACAAGAAATACACTATCAATACCCATATTGATAAGCTCATTCTTTAAATCTTTGGCATGGGTCATAGCCTCTGCATGAACATAGCTAATTAGAATGGAAGTAGAAGAATTTATCTTCTGAGATGTTACTTGAAATTCCTTTTTATCTGATAGCCTATACATTAAGAAAGATTTAATTTTTTTTAAAAATCAGAACATGCAATTGAAAATCAAATATCTTAAAAATTAAATCTCGTACACAAATTAAATATGAATTCCCATTTTAAACTTTTATCATAACTTACTGATAAATTAAGTACTGCCAAATGCATAATTACGCATAATGCATATGATAAATTAAGTACTGCAATGAGTTAATTTGAAACTTTTTTTTTTACTGAAATAATTCTTTTTAAAATGCAAAGCATAATAAATTATGTTATCAGTTTAAAATTATAAAATAAAACACATAATTTTCTCTAAAGTTAATGTATGGAGTTTCTAGAAGCATTGTAAACATTCATGAAATAAAATGAGCTTATCTCTTTGTTGCACATGGTTATGTTCCCTTTTATTTTTCAATGTATAAATTCTTAATATGCCTTACAATATACAAAAAAATCTTTAAAAAAAATTTTCTAAGCATTACAAGAATATAATTTAAGATTTTAATTAATATGCAGAAATGTTCATTAAATTTAAATAATAATTGTGAATGCATGAACATGTCATAAAAGACAAATATATACAATAGGCATTCACATTTCATTAATAAATAATTACATGTTCACTAAATAGTTTAATCTTTCTTTTGTAATAACAAAATTTTTATCAAATAAAATATTAGAAAACAAAAATGAGATTCAAAAATATGAAGTAAAATAAATTTTTAGTATATGTTAAAGTGTAAAATATAAATTTTATTTCAAGTATCTTGACAATTTCATGAAACCAAAAATAAAAATTTCTCTTTATTTGTTATTACAGTGCAGAACCTGTTATCCGGAAATCAGAAAACCGGAAAACCAAAAAACCGGAACGAAATTCGATTACTTTTCCCACCATTAAAAAAAAAAAAATTTTTTTTTTCCTCATAAGATTTTAGGATTTTTCTTTCTTTTTTGAAAGATGTTTACCTTACCATCATTTTGGAAATAATCATTAGTGTATTACTTCATCGTTTTTTCTTCTTTTTAAGATTATTTCCAAATATTTTTTTTTAGTTGGGTTTACAATAAAAAAACGGCTTTTTGTAGAGATTCAGAAAACCGGAAAAATCAGTTATCCGGAATAGCAATTGTCCCAATCGCCCAGTCCCAATAGATATTTTTGTAAATGGTACAGTAAACGGAAACAGGTACAGTCTATAATAGTCAGTATCAATATAAAACGTGGAATTCATAGGAAACGTAGAATAGGAAATATAAAACGGGGGTATTTTGGTCTAATCTTAACATACTCAATACCAATTTTTGTTGTAACTGAAATTTTTTTCTCTACACATTCTTTGTCTAAAAAAATCTTAAGTTCTGTATTTTTGTAATATAACTTGACAACTTATGTTCTTAAAATATTGAGAAATTTTTATAGATCTACTAAGATTAATATGAGTCAATACTGAAATACATCAAACACACAGTTTATTTAAACACAATTTTATAAAATTGACTGTTACACATGTTCAGAAAACAAAAAATTACCTGTTTATTATATTTTCCTTAGGCAAAAAAAATAATTGCAGGTGCTTATGCATAAAAATTTTTTTATATTTATTTACATTTCAATATAGAGCCATTTTATGCTGATTTTTTTCCAAACCGTGCTCTTTATAAAATTCATTGATACAATTTTATTTAAACCAATATTTAATAAATGCTGTTTGTTTAGAATTAGCACTATTATTTTAAGAGATATTCAATATTTGTAAATGCCACATTGTCAAATTTTTCGTTGCATATTCTGTAGGAAAAAAAAAAGATTTTTTTTTCTTAATTGAAATTAGAATGTTTAAAGAATTATAATCTAACTACATGGTTTCTTAGTTTAGATTAGTTAAGTGTTTTTGTTTTTACAACTGAGCAGTTCCATGGTGTCGGCGTAAAAAATTAATATAAATTTCTTAGAAAAACTATCTCATAAAACAAAAGTTTATAATCATCAAATATTTAATACATCATAACCTATCGAAAAACAATTTGTTTTATAAAAACTGATTATAATAAGCTCAAATTAAATAGATAAAATTGTAGGGATGTAAACGTACAAAAACAAAAAATGATAACTCATGTATCTTGAGAATCTTAGTAGTAAAACAAAATGTGAAATGTTTCTACACATTTGTGCAAGATAACCTGTTTTGTTACAGCGTACTTTAATTATTATTGTTTCCATTTTCTTTATTAGTGTGAATTTTCTTTAAAAAAAATTGTTCTTAGTTAGAGATTCACTTACCACAGTTAAAAATTTCAAATGATGTAGCCCTTCATTTAACAGCTTATAATTTATTAAAAACTGATATTTATAAGTTAAAAGTCATTATTTCTAAATCTTCAATTTTTTCCCTTTGAAATGATATATTGTTTACTTAATATTAAGTTTAAAATTTCGCTCATCCGGGAGACCAACTTGAAACCTGTACAGTTCAGAACAGAAAAACAAAATTTTGTTTCCCTTTTCTAATAAATACATATGAATAATTTTTTTTATATTCGAAGTTTATACATCATTTAACATCTTTCCTAGAGATTTCTAAGTCTCTGTTGGCTTTTTAAGGTAAAAGCATTATCATCTCTGGAATGAAAGCAACATTTACGAAACTGATGTCATTGTAATAATTACCTAATTCGAATTTTGAATCAAAAAACAAATATTTATCATCAAAACTGCAAAATTAAATGTTAACATCTAGTTCGTTCATTTAAAAATCTTTTTTAAAATAAAATATGTTACAAAAGGTTAAAATGAAATCAAGAAAATTAGCATCAATGAATTGTAACGATTTTGCTATTAGCAATTCAAGAAAATTAGTGGTTGGCTTTGCCGAGAAAAAAAATTCATTGGATGGAGAACAAAAGCTTTCAAAAAAGAGTGCAAGATAAAATCTACTATTAAATTGTAACCAATTATTTTTTAGAGAATTTCAATAAATTAAAAATATTAAAACATTATGAAGAAAAAGAAAAAAATACCCCCAATGCCTCGGAACAAACTTGAATGAAAAATGAATTTAGCCCACGGATTAGAAGAAGATTAAAAAAAATCTACATTTCTAAACAGAAGAAAATATCCTAACCCTTTCTTCCACCTCCACCACAATCTTTGCCTTTCCTAAACTGCTTAGTCCATAATCTCCAAAGAGGTCAAAGGTTCCTCCATTGATTTAGCAACCATAGGAGAGTTTCATAAGGCATTCTAGTTTAGCAGGGTAATAATGGAGAGAATTTTAATGCGAGCAAAGTATTGCTAAGTTGATATTACTTCAACTGTTTAACGATAAATTTCCGTTCAAGTACAGTGGGTATAGCGGACAGTAAAATAATTTAAATTAGGAAAAATTCCCGCTTCTCTTCAAAATTCCAGATTTTTCCAAGTTGTTATCCAAATTCAGTGCTTCAAGTGCACTAAACCTATATTGGAGCAACTTTGGAGCAGAGAAATTCTCACTTTGGAGCAACAAAACTCTATTTTGGAGCAGCAAAATTAGCTAATTAAGAGCACCTTTCTTAGAAAGAAAAAAATAACTGCAGTTATGGTAGTTAATATGTATGTGTGTGTATATATATATATATATAGGTAAATTAACCCATTAAATCAAAGGGAAAAATACTTTATTTTAACATTTACTTTTAAAATGAAAATATGTTTAGATTAAAAGACAATCTGCAGCAAGAAAGTGTCACAAATTTTAACGCTTCATAAATTTCTACTTTTAGCAGACTTAAAATTTCAGACAAAGATTTACCTATATTAGCAGACTTAAGATTTACCTGTACATTAAAAAAACAAAAACACCATATACTAGGAACTACAGTATATGTGTCGTCGTTGAAAGAAGTGAATAAATTTAAAGTAAGTTTCAACTAGACATAAAAAATATGTTTAAGTACAAATGTAATCAATAACTAGCTAGATTTACATATCTTCAGTTTCTTAATTATTTCCTTCTTTAAAGACATAATATATTTCTATACTTATTACTTTTCAATAAACATTAACAAAGTTTTCATTTCATTTATAAAATTACATTTCTAAATAAAATTATCATTGAAATACACATTACATTGTCAACTATCATTGTTACATACAACTATCATTGAAATACACATTATCATTCTACATTTTTAAAACACATTTAAAAATTACCCCCAATGCAATGTTAAAGTTTCAACTTGACAAATAAATATTTTAAGTAAAAATTTAAATAATAACTAGCTAGATTTCTGAAACATGCATATCATCAGTTTCTAAATTATTTTCTTCTTTAAAGACATAATATACTTCTATACTTATCAATAAGCATTAACAAAGTTTTCATTTCATTTATTAAATTCCTAAATAATACATCATTGAAATACACATTATCATTCTATATTTTTAAAACACATTTAAAAATTACCCCTAATACATTATGTTAAAGTTTCAACTTAACATAAAAAAAAGTTTAAGTACAAATTTAATCAACAATTAGCTAGATTTCTGAAACATGCATATCTTCAGTTTCTTAATTATTTTCTACTTTAAAGACATAATATTTTTCTATACTTATTATTACAATAAACATTAAAAAAGTTTTCATTTGATTTATAAAATTATATTTCTAAATACATCATTGAAACACAGATTATCATTTCATATTTATTTTTAAAACACATTTAAAAATTAGCCCCAATATAATATGTAATGTTTAAATGAAAATACTAAGTTTCTAGCATTAGCTTAATGATTTTACATAAAAGATACAATTTATAATTACATATATATATTTTTATAATTATATTGACAATAATGCACACAATCACTAAATTTTTCTTTTTTTTGAAAGTGAGCCCTGCTCTAGTCTATTTTTCTCAAAATCAGCAAGAATTGAATTTATTTTAGTTGAGGACTCATCAAGCAGAACTTGTCCGCTCTCTATATCAGAAATTTTTTTTCTCTTTAGTCCCTCCTTGATTAAATTCTGGGCATTTGAAAGCATTTTTTTAGAAATATCAAGTCGGGAGTTAAGTTCTTTTTCAGCATTTTTCAGTTCTATTTCCCTATTCTTAACTTCTGATCTTTGTTCCTCAAATTCTTTTTTGCCAGTCTCAGTACGCTGATTATAATTCTTGTACGCGTTCTTCACTGATTTCAACATATCACTAGACAAAGTCACATCTGTGACATTATCATAGTCACTTAGAAATGATTTAATGCATTATTGATGCTAAAACCTCTCTCACAGTCTGCATTTCCATGAGGTAACGCCAACAATGCTTTGACCAATACTTGCACATAAGGAAACTTGGAACTGTTATTTCTTTGGAGAGAAAATACTGAATTCCAGTAATGCTGTATATTGAAACCTTCTGAGGATGATTCACAAACCACTGGAACAGCTTCACTCTGTAACACAATCCACTCATCAGCTAGAGAAGTTACAGAAGAATGCGAAATAATGTTTGGCAATTCGCGAGCAATTGCTTTTATGCATCCTAATGAGGATTCCTCTTTAATGAATTCAGGGTGTATGCATTTTAAACGCTCTAAAAATTTGTTACCTAGAGGCAAAACCTTTAACAGGTACTTTGCTGAAGTAATGTAAAAAGCCCTAGCACCTAAGTAACATTCCTTTCTGACTGTTTCATCCAATTTCTTCAGTTCTTTTTGAGTGTCACAGCCAACTTCAGGTTTCTTCCACAGTTTGCCACTGTTTACATCTAGTTCTTTCAATTGAATTCCAGTTTTATCAGCAAAAGCTTCTGAAACCAAGAACCTCCCCATCAATGCTTTAAGCATAGCAACCATCTCATCATACAAAATGGGGATAAGTGGTTCCTGACTCTGAAATATTGCTAAATATTTAGAAAAGAGAGGGCAAACATTTTGTAAAAACAATGCCTTAGCATAAGTGCTCTTATCTCTTAGTGCACACAGAATTCTTTGATGGCGTGCTGACTGCCGTCCTGTAGGTGAAGTGATAAAAAAAAATTTTAAAGCATCATACTGCTCAATAAATCTCCCAACAGATGCTTCAACAGTTAGCCAACGGCTTGACACATGCCAGACAAACACATTTTCTGGCAAATTAAGTTTTATTTGTACATCTCTAAAATCACTGTTACTTGAAGCTGAATTTTTGAAAAAGTGATAAATATCTATAACAAGGCACTCAATATCACCACCAAAAGCATTCAATCCTTCTGAAAAACCATTATGAACTTTATGCAGGGAGCATTCACTAATGTCTATCAAATTCTCATTTATCAAAGACATTTTTTTCTTCAATGCCTTCATGACATTCAGTCCATCACTGTAAAAGCTTATGAGCTTTTGGGAGGACAACTCTGATATAGCTCTTTTTACACAATCCAAAAGAATGTCACTCGTGGCGTGGCCTAAATGGAATGATTGTAAATGTTTTGTGAGGACCTTTTGTTTCATCTCACTATAAAAACGTATCAAAACATCTAATTGCTGGGTTCTTTTCTCCTGGATCGGAGTCTCATCTATCTGAATAGAATAGTAAGCTCCATATTTGTTTATCTCATGAATCAGATCTGACTTCAAAAAGGGGCCTATGCCATCTGAAACTATGTACGATAATTTAGTCCGTGAAACGGAAAACTCACTAGCTATTTTCGAGTCAGAAAACATTTTTGGGAAAATTTCTGTAGCAGTGTCACTAAACATGAAAGGGACATTGCACTTTGCAACAGCTAAAGTAAAAAAAGTTTCTGCTGCTGTGACTTTGTCTTTTTCACCCAGTTGCTGGCAGTTCTTTTGAGTAAAGTCCAGTCTTTTCTGCACTATTTTAGGTTTAATTTTACCAGCGGCAGACACACCATGCTGATTGCATTTGATAGTCAAATCACGAATAGTGCAGATGCCTTCTTCTGGTTTAAAGCCAGGTGTGCACCAGTCGGAGATAAGGTCCCCATTGCAGTCTCTTTGTTTCAAAGCATCTATGTTAAAAAGGGTGCACCTGCCACCTGAAAATAAAAGCCACCAATAATATTACTGAAATAAGGCAAACTTATGAATTCTGACCCCCATCAGATATAGAAAAAAAGGGGTGGAGAACTTAAAATAAAAAAATATGAAGGTGGAAAAAAATCACTAGTGATCAGCTTTATTTATCAACAAAACTAAGTTTAAAAATACTACTTAAAAGGAACACCAATGAAAAAAAATATTTTTAAAAACAGATCTTGCAAAAAAAATCCAAAGTTTTAGATTTGAATAAGATAGTAAAAAATAAAAGTTTTGTATTAAAACTGCTCTGTACTTAATTTTTAGTATTCAAAAGTTTATATTAAATAAAAGTTAGTTTTTAATCATGTTTCTTTTAAGTCAAAGCTACACAATAAGAAATCTAAAATCAATCTAAATTAAAAAATGCTTTTATAACATCAACATTGCTTCATATCATTTATAAAAGCATAATACTAAAATTTTTAATTTTTATCAAAAATAATTTAAAATTTAATGGTTTACAAAAATTAGATCCTACTAATATAGACATATTAAATATTTGCTAATTTTAAAAAATGATTTGATTAAAACAACTAGATAAGTGATTTATTCAGGTACTTTCAACAACTTTTGTAATATTCTAATTTCTATTATTTTATATTTTATTTTATAACCGTCGTTGAACAGCCGACCCAATTTCATGGGTTTACGACTACTTACGTTCAACTCCGTAGCCTTGCAATTTTGAACCAATCCAGAAGACAAGGAAACTCCTGGATCAGTACCCCCAGAGGTATTGATTTGTTGTGGGAACATGGAGGACTTTGAGACTCGACAGATTTAACGTGCATCAGTCACCATTTACTACACGGGGAGTCTTCGGCTGGCGAGGATCGAACCCACGACCTCTTGGATATGGGCCCAGAGTGAATTTTTTCTTTATAATAAAAGGGTTTTTTTTTTATTGACAAAAGATCACTTAAGCAAAAAAAAAAAAATTTATTTGAAAACAATATACAATGAGCAGCTTAAAAATTCATATTTTCTGCTAATTCATAAATTTCTTAATTATATTTAATTATTTCTTAATTTCTTTTTTAATTCTAAGAATGGAGGATTTTTTTTCTTCACATTTGCTATTTTTATTATAACGCAGCATTCTGATGGAACGTCTCGTATACTATTAATTAATTATCACTTTTTTCTTGAACAGTAAAAATAACCAGTAACATAGAAAACTGATTTTCAGTGTTAAAGTTTTGCTTTAGGAACTAAGAACAATGTTTTTTCCGTTTTCCTTTTAATTATCTTTCTTTTTTATTTAACTCTAACTTCAACATTCAATATGGGACGTTGTTTGTTGATATTTTTTATTCAAAGGAGTTACCTTAAGAAAAAGTCATATGTGATACATTATGAGCTAAGTACGTAACTTCCACCCTTTTCGTATTTTTAGGACAAAACTTAATTAATTTCGATTAATTATTAAATAAGATTTTCCGTTCGCGTTATTATTGGCAAATGGCCAAAATATAGAGCGCGGTCTTACAATACACGTGCTGCGCTTAAATTAGCAACAGCGCTTATTTCTAGGATATATTTTTTTCGAAAAAAACCTACAGCTTATAAAAAAGAAGGAGTAACGATTAATAAATTAGCCAGTAAAATAAAAATTCATCGAGGGGAAAAAGTAACTTATAATTTCAAAAACGATTTGTAGTAAAAAATAAAGCGGTGAATTAAAATCTCCGGAAGTTTAAAGAAAATACACATTTTATAACATTATCTATAAAATAAGAGAAAAATAACTTACCTTTAGATTTTCCACCACGAGATCCAACCATTTTCTTGAACGATCGAGGCCCGATGCCGCTGCTCAGTCAAACAACATTCTAAGTTCTCAGTCTCCAAAATGTCGAACAGTTAGGAAGGATGGAGGAGGAAGGATACATTTTATTGGTCTACCGTAACACACACACCCCTCCTACGACGAGTTCAGTACGAGTACGTCACGGAAAACGAGGAGTGACGGCCGATGACGTAATCAAAACTTCATCCCTCGCGAAAGATCGTGTGTTAGAACATTTTGGCGCACATTTGGCACAAATTTAGAATAAAATGCCGTTTCTGCTCAGTAATGCGCAAATATACCGATTTGGCGCAAAATGCGCAGCACTTGAAGCCCTGCAAATTTCCCTGATTTTTCCAGGTTCTTTCCAGTATAAAAAAAATCCATGATAATTCCAGGTTTTCAAGGTTGGCGGCCACCCTATTATACATTGTATGATAAAATATTTTACTTAAAAAAATCAAGCATTAATTACTGTAATTTCGCAAAGAAACACCACCTTTGTATATATACATATATGCCTGCACTCAAAAGTCGGTTCAGATTTAAAAAGTAAGATAATTAAATATTAAATTTACTTTAAATTTTTCTTTTTTATTTTTAGATCTTGAGGGGAGGCCTTCCTTTTAGCAGTTATCCTATTAATGAGACATGTATTTCCTTTTGATATATCCCAGACATTAAGATCTTTCTCTTGAGATGGAGAAACAGGCCACCCATGTGTATCAATGAACTCGAATTTTGTTTCAGCATCAATAAACTTATGATTTAACTGAAATAAAAAAAAATAAGTAGATTAAAGATTTAAAAAAGCTGAAATATTTAGCAGCATTTTTTTTAAAAAAACAAACAAACTATTTTGCTAAATAATTGCTGGTGAAATAAACTCTAGAGCTACAGAAAGTAAGACAATGTATCGAAAAATAATTAAATATACACTTTTAATCTAAGAAGTTACAAATTTATATGAATTTCAAATTATATGGGGACATTAAGAATGTCAATCGTATAAACTTAGTTGTAGAAAACTAACATTCCCCTAATTCTTTAAGACACTTCTACCTTTGGAGGGCACTAACTTAGCTTAACACACATATATATACATGCTAAATCAAAATTAAAAGTGATATATAAAATGTATTTTTAAAATAATTAAATGAAACATTTAGAAATTCACATTCAGCAAGAAAAATTAAATAAAAAAATATTTAACCTTACAAAAAATGTTTTAAACAAATAACAATAATTAATATGAACTAAGTACAGCATTAATATAGTATTGTATTCAAAAATACAATATTTTGGAAAACTATAAAGATATTTTTTTTGATATATTATGGAAAAAGCCAAAAAGGAAACATTTTTAGCATTTTATCATTCAAACCTGAGGTCCAATTCTTAAATCTTCATATTCAGAATTTCTCATAAAATTTTCTATAGTTTCTAACAAAAAAACAAAAAATCAATCTTGTGTTTGGTTTAAAAAAGATCTTGAAACACCTAAGTTTTATTTAAAAAAATATTTATTATTGGTACTACGTCTTATCTTAAAATGAAAAAGGAATCTGAAGTAGAGAATGTTTACAAAAAGGGCAAGGTTGGGTGCATTTATCTGAGAAAGGAAAGAAAGGTAAGCCCTCCTTTAAATAATGCCTAGGGAGAATATTTAATTGGTAAATAATGTCTTAATCACTTTTTATAGCTAGTTGACAACTAAAAATCAAAATTGATTTAATAAAATGGTTTGAAGGCATTTTATGAAAGATAAAAAAAAATTATGCTTTAAAATTATGAGTAAAATTAATTTTTAATTGCATTATAAATGTGTTAAACAGTATAATTTGATCTGTATGAATGATTTTTAATTTGAGATTGTCTACTGTAATAAACAAAGTTTTGATAATAGGACAAGTGAGAAGAATAAATATATACAGAAAAAATGATACAACATAATTGTGGTAGGGCACCTCCACTATCCCAACCAAACCATATAGGAAATTGCTAGAAATTTTGGTAAAGCTTGCTGACAAAGTGAAGCCATCTCTAGTCTTATATCTGTATAAGACCGACTTTGTTTTCATGGCAAGCTCTAACAAGATTTCAGTCAAAATCTCAGTGACAATTTTGCCAGAAAATTGCTAGATCAGTTTAACTGATTCAACATATTGCTGGATAGCTTGATAGAGATATTAGAGGGATAGTAACTCTTTTTTTTCCCACTAATTTGGGAAATTAAGCAATATACAGACTGTTTTTTATTGGGAGAAATTTCTACTAAACATAATCAATATATTAAAGTTTACTCATCACAAATTTTTTTCTGTAAATTTGAGAATATGTTGATGAAAGAATTGCTCTTTAGGTTTTGTTTTAATGGATATATATTCCAAAATAGATCCCATTGGTTGCTCATGTTTAAACCATTTTCTTGTCCTTAATAGCAGTAAAATAAAACTTTAAAAAAATAGCAATTTTACATAATAAGCTAAAAAAAAGAAAAAAAATTACTTCCACATTAATTGCCTGTCGAACAACGATCAAGGAACTATTGAAACTAATAAATATAAATCCAATAAATTCTCCATCATGCCATTTTACTCCTAGTCGAGGAAGTTCTGAAAACAAAAATCCATTTTAAAATCAAAGCTATCAAATTTGATAAACATATAAGGAATCAAAGAACACGAAGTTTTTATAACAAACAATGAAAAATTTTCCTTAGTTCTGGTTTATTCTTAATTTTCCTTGATGCTACACAACTTTTAAATAAATTTATTTTATTTTTTTGCCACCAATGCTAACAGAATAAAATAAGAACTTCACATCAATAAGTCTTAAGATATTACATAACTAAAACATAAAAAAAAGTATGTGATAGCAGGGGTCTTTTCAGAAGAAATTTGGGTCTGTTAACGGACCCTTCAGAAATTTTTTTATCTTCATTATTATTTTGTTAATCGATTTAAATCTTCCCAGTGGTAGGGGAGGAGGAAGACAGTTCCAGACAAACTAAGTTTCCCTTAGTTTAAATTTCAAATGTAGTATTCTAAGAAAATATTTCTATTTTTACAAACATTGTGTACACATTCTTATAAATACTAAATAATATTTTTCTTGTAAATATAAATCAATTTCTGGCAATTTTTTAAATAAAATATTATAAATTTAAGAATTGTTTAAATTTACTTAATGCGTAACACATTACTAAGTTATGTTATTTAAAATATGTCAATTGAAATTAATTAATAATGTGAGTGATTTTGTTTCCATTATTCGTCCGAAAGGAATATTCTGTGGTGAGCAGTTTAGGCTAAATACCCAACAATTGTATGTTGCATCTCTAATTTTGAAGCTGCAATTGTAGAGCAGAATCTTGTATCTATTTACAATTTAAAAACTTCTTGAAAAGGTTTTAAGCAATAACAGGACCCTATTTGCACAAAATCACCAAAGCAGGACCCTGGTTGAAAGAATGTGACTTAACACTTATTTTATATTCACAAATTATGAAGTTTTTTCACAATTTTAGAAAAACAGGACCTTTCACAAAATGTATGGACAGACCCCTGGATAGTAAACTAGGATCAAGAATAAACTGAAAAGAGAAACAGGAGGGAAAAAACTAAAAGGTTTGCAATAATTTGAAAAATATCTTAAGACTACAATAATACAATTATCAGAAATTATAGTATTTGTAATTTCTGATTCTGAGAAAGTGCAGTATTTGAAAGTAAAGCATTATTTTCCTTCCAATTTATATTTAAAAATAATTTATATAACAATATAAATGAGAAATAGAATTTCGGAGGTACTTTTCTCTGAATGGTATAGTTTCATACAGTTAACAACTTTGACATGTCTCCATTGCTGTAACATATGTAGGGTTCCCATTCAATAATAGAAATAAAATTCTGCAATTTTTTAAAGTTTCTTAAAAAAAATGTCAATACAATTCCAGACCGCACTTTTGCCGTACATAACAATAAAGAATCAGAAATAAAATATTTCATTTTATATAATATTTTTCCTTAAACATATAGATACAAAATAAGTCAAATATTTCATTTTGAAAGAAAAAAAAAGATTTCACAATACCCAGGTATATAGATTATAAGATAGAGAAAATATTTTACCCATGGAAAAATGCATTTGCATCAGAATCCCAAAAATCTAAAGACTTGATGGAATATATATTTTATAAGTAAAGCCATGTTAGTCATATAGTTATCATACATTAGTTGTGATCAAAAACCAAAATTAATTTATGCAGTAAAATTTAATATTTTTAAAAAATATTACCAGCCTAATGAATTTTTATATCTTTAATGAACTGCAAATGGTTAAATTTTCAGAAAAAGCTTAAAACAAGAAACTGTCACACAGTTTTATATCATTTAGTCTAATTTTAAAAAAAAGTCTGAAAAAAAAACTTAAATTATGTTTAATGGAAATTTTAAAAGAAAAAATTCTGACTCATTTCATTTTTATTTTCTCTTTAAGAACTCAACTAACTTAGCACCACACATTACCACATTCTTCCTTTTAAAATGAGTGACGTTTCTACAACAGCGATTAGGTATAGAGCAGACTTTATTCACCCAAAATCAAATTTGCTGACCATTCTATATTTTCTGATTATGTAGGAACCTTACATAGGTACTGCTGAAATCTTGGACATTGAAACTTACCAGAAACATTGAAAGGTCATTAGGAGAAACATTAAGAGAGAAGATAGCTCCGTCAAAAAGAAATAATACAAAAAATTTAAATTTAGTTTCTATTCAATTCAATGTTTTCTATTCGACAGCTGGCCGATTTTAAGTAAATGATTCAAAGAAAAATGGCAAAATAAAATTAACTACGAAATGAAACATGATACAGATTTTAATAAAAATGCTCAATAGATACCTGTAAATATATCACATTGGTATTATTTAAATATAAATTTTCAGTTGTACTCATTTCTCATTTCAAGGAATTTTTAAAGACATAGGGCTCTTTGGAGTAAATTGTATGCTCCAGACCTTCAATATTTTGTTTTAGGACTAAAAACCTATAAACTAAAACTAGTAGTATAAATACATGTTTTGTTTCATAATTCATTGATGACAAGCTGCTTTATTTCTCGGCCAAAAAAAAAAATTATAATAATAATAAAATAAAATTCTTCTAAATAAATTTTATTTGCAATAAAAAAATGTAAGACTTATTTTTTTTTGTAAATTTAATATTCAGTTTAAAAAGAATAAGCAGATTAACATGGCTAACCCTTAACAGTTAGGTAGTATAAATTAAAAAATGTCTCTGAATTCATCATTTTTTTTTATTTATAGAAAATTTAAAAAAACAAAATACAAATAACTTATGATTAACACAGTTTTTAACCAGAAATAATTAATTAGAACAATTACAAAAGATATAAAGGTCAATCATTTTCTGGTAAATAGATGAATTTCACACTTGTTTTGGGTATTTTTCAAGCACTTTCATCAAGGAATACAAAAAAAGAAAAATTTAAGAGCCTTAAACTTGAAGCAAAGCTATTATTTTAAACTACATATACCATCTTGCCATAAGAATTACCTGGGTTTTAGAATGGGAAAAAGATGCTTTAATCTAAACATTTCTTTAAAAAATGTCCAGTTTGGCCAGATTTTACTGTACAGAAGAAAAATCATTAAAACCAAATAATAATTCTCAGTATTTACAAATATTTATGAGCCCAAACAAGGTAGCATTAGAGTAATTTGTCAGTTTGCTAAAGCTTTAAAAAACACCTATAAACTAATAACAGATCTGTTCTATTACTAAACAAGTATGTCCCACACTGATGTAATGTTTATATATTCTATTACTTTAAGCCTTCATTATTTTTAAATCTACAAATATAACAATGAAATTCCATTTTTGCATTTAATTTATATACCAGAAAAGGATTCACCTTGATACCGTTTGGAATTGTGACAATTAATTATTGCTGTTTAAAAAATTATGTTCATCATTACCGTATATTCCGGCGTATAACGCGCACTTTTAATACAAAAAATAACATTGGAATGTACGGGTGCGTGGTACACGCCGAATATAAAAAATTATAGATTAAAAAAATTAAAATATAGAAAAATAATTTTATTTTAAGGAAATAACATACCTTTACCTATATACTTTATTGATTTTCGTTATTACATAAATAGTTCATTATATTCGTCTTCCGTTATTTCTTCAGACACGTCATCACAATCTGTTTCGTCTTCATCATCTGTGTTACCCTCATCCATAAATAAACAGTCATCTTCTGATCCGTCCAGATTATTTGAAATGCTGCATTTTTTGAATGATTTTCTAACCATCTCAGGCTTAATTTCATCCCATGCTTTTAATATCCATTCGCATACTGTTTCCGAACTTGCATGGCGCATATGTCCTCCTTTCGTAAAGGTTTTCTCGCCCTCCAACATCCAAGTGTTCCACTGTTTTCTAAAATTGGCTTTAAATGGTTTGTTTAAGCAGACGTCCAATGGCTGAACTAATGGTGTCAATCGATCCGGAATAACTGCCATGTGGGTGTTGCATTCTTTCAACAATTTTTTTGTATTATCTGTAAGGCGGGACCTAAGCATGTCCCACACTAAAAGGCTTTCTGGTTTTCTATTGATACTAGACGAGATATTGCACATGTACAATCCAAATTTTCGTGCGCGTTATACGAAGAGTATATCGTAAAATTTAAAAAAAGCTATTAGAAATTACGGGTGCGCGTTATACGCCGGGGCTCGTTATGCGCCGGAATATACGGTATTATTAATTCAATTTTGAATGTACAAATAGGTTACAATATATATATATTGTTTTTTTCAACAAAAACTTAAAATAAGGTAGTAGCATACATTTATGAAATGAAGAATTTAACTTCACTCTAACATCAGAAAACAGTAGTTGAAATTTTAAAAATAAAAGTACTTCCCAATTGATACACCACATACTAAAATAAAATTTGACATACCAAAATGACGTTGTATTGTGACAATGTTGGAAAGAATCAACTGGGAAATTTCTATTTTATGTTCTTCAGCCTGATCAATTGGCCATCTAAACAAAAATTATTCAAAATTAGAAAGAAAAAAAAAACAGATCAGCAAGTGCAAATAAAAGTTAGCAAGAATTGATTTCCTTTCAAAATATTTATATATATATATATATATATATATATACCAGTGGGAGACTAATTTAATCTGATTCAATAACTTTTNTCAATCATTTAATGTCATTAAAATTTATAATATATATATATATATATATGGGTGATTCTCACAAAATATGACAATTCACAGTCCCTAGCTCCAAGATCTAATACTCCCTGTGGCAGAATTTTTTTGGGCTTTCTGCGACAAGCCTCTCTAGCATTAATACCTTTCTGCAAGATACACTTAGTAATAACTAATATACATCTTATTAATTAAAGTTAAAGTAATAGAAACATTGTATTTACATAAAAAGCCTAATTGGATATAATATACTTGTATGTATCTTTTATTCTAATATCATGGGCGGAATTATCATATTTTGTAAGAGGAAAACACACTGATTATTTCTTTTTTCGCATTTCGTAAATCATCACATAAAAAAATCGTCAAATCAGTGAAATAAAAGAAATCCAAAATTTTTTTATTTTTCCCAAATAAGAATAAAAAAAATCATGTACATTTCCTCCTTTCTGATGCGTGAAAAAGGACTCTGTTTCCAACATTTCTGCAGAAAAGAAATTTTTTGCTTATATATTTTCTTTATTTTTCATTCTTCTCAATTAAGAATCGAAAAATTACGAACATTTCTTTCCCCTCCGACGCGCGAAAAAGGCATAATTTAAATACAATTTTAGAGAAAAAAAATTTCTTAACTTTTTGGAGAAAAGAAAATCAAAACTTTTTATTTTCTAAACGAAAATTCTTTCTGCAAGAGCTCTGTAACATTCTGCGACAATGTCGCTGTGATTCTGCCACGGGGTTAATACTATACTACAGAACCCGTTATCCGGAAATCAGAAAAAACCGTAACGAAATTTGATAAATTTTCCCGCCATTTTTTAAAAAAAAAATTTTTTTTTTTTTCCCTATAAGATTTTAGGATTTTTCTTTCTTTTTTGAAAGATGTTTCCCTCACCATCATTTTGGAAATAATTACTATTGTATTACTTCATCGTTTTTTCTTCTTTTTAAGAACATTTCCAAATTATTTTTTTTACTTTGGTTTAACAATAAAAAAACGGCTTCTTGTAGAGATTAAGAAAACCGGAAAAATCAGTTATCTGGAATAGCGATGGTCCCGATTCTTCCGGATAATCGGTTCCCTACTACTAAAGGAACTTTTGATAAATAGCATCGCTGTTAGCATTTTAAAATGACTTTGCACTAGCATTGACTGTTTTGTACAGTTAAAAATTTTATTTAATTTCAAGTTCCCAGTATGTCACAAACAATAGTGCCAATAATAACTAGCTTCAAAACTTCGAATAAATATTTCAATATCTAATTTTCTTCATCTCAACCGTTGTAAGCATTTCTAGAATATACGCAGAGGGTATTATTTACAAAAAATTTGTTTAAAATAATTTTTTCTGTCAATAATTTGCTTGACACATGAAAATCTGTCATTTTCCTGGCTACTTTCATCCTATGTTAACAGATTGATTAGATACCCTCTTATATGAACATGTCTTGTTGCATGAATAAAGAACTAATTTTCTGGTTCAAAATCTATTTCAAAAATTTTTTCAAGGTGCATAGGTTTTTATGTTGTCATTTTTTTGTCTTCTTGAAATCATTAATAACATAAACTACATTGATTTACCTGAGTTATTTCAAGAAATCCTGTTTGTTTTCTGCAGAATGTAAACGTCTTTGGCCAAAATATTAAATTAAAGTAAAGTTAAATGCTATAAAATGATAAATTTGTCATTACCCTGGCTGTCATTTTCCAGGCTTAAGAATGCCAGGACATTGATGTCTTACCAGAAAACTTTTCAAACAGTATATTGTAAGGAGGGAAAGCAAATATTAAACTAATACCAAGTTTATGTATGATTGTAATATGCTTGAATGTAATCAAAGTTATTTATTTATTTAATGATTGATTATTATACACAATTAAATTCTGCATATATCAGCAACAAAATATTTTGTGATTCTTTCTACAGTGGATAAAAAGAATTAATTTAAGCAATTTATGGTCTATCTAGCATAAAGGATTAAGTTGAGTTACTTACTATCAGGGTTCGTGATTTTTTCGATTTTTTTAAAAAAAAATCAAAAGAATCGGATTTTTTTTATTTAAATCGGATTTTTTTGATTTAAATCGGATTTTTTTGATTTAAATCAGATTTTTTGGATTTTTATTCAAATACACTGTAAGAACTTTAATTTATGATTAAAAAAATTATAAATGTTTAGTCAAATTAACTTAATATTAAAACTATATTGTAACAATATTTTAGAAGCTCTAACTAAAATAATTTTTCATTATAATGCATGGCTTTGAATGCTTAGCATTCATTTTGAAACAAATGCATGATTAAAATTTAAAGACTAGATGAAATAGAGAATTTGAAGAATAATTCAGGGGTCTGTCTGGGTTTTTTTGAGAGGTACCTATTTTGTGAAAATAAAAAATTATATTAAAAAATCAACACAAATATAGTAAAAATATGGATTTATCGTTTCTTACGAGACACAAAAGTAAAATTTTAAGAAAAAGTATTTTGTGTGATTATTCTATCATTTTTCCTTAAGTTGAATTTGTAAAGGTACCGTTAAACGGTAGTAAATTTGGCTTGGACAGATCCCTGTATTTTAACTATTAAGACAAAGTTTCAGTTAGCAAACCATAACTTTAATTTAAAATTGTGATTTCTTTTTTTTTTCTCTTGATTTTTAAAATGACAAAATAAATGTAGCAGACTGTGTTTATAAATGTAGTCATTCACCAAAAAATAAATAAATACTTAATATATATATTTTTATATTAAAATATTCATTTTTAATTCTATATCAAAATAGATAAGTTAAGCTAAAAATTAGAAAATCTATGTACTCATTGGAATTTTTTTTCACAAAATTTCTTTATAGAAAATCAGATAATGTCAAAGATACTGTAAACATATTATGAGAAAAAAATACCAGTTAATAACCCTACTGCATCAAATAGACTTTGAAAGGGAAGAATGACACTATATTAGGAAAAAAACATCTGAATTCATCTGCCTTTTTTTTTCTTTTTCTGTTTTTGGCATATTAGGGTAATTTCTTTTTAATATAACCTCAAGCTTCAGAAATATACATTTTCCACCAATAAAATATGATGTAGATTTTAATTCACGCTTTTTCATTCAAAAGGTAGAATTTGTATTATTTTTTGAAAAAAATTCATGCTTATTAATACAGCTACAGCTATGCAAGTCTATATTAAGACAGCATTAAATGTTTACTTTAATCTGTACTTTCAATCTCAAGAATCAAAACATTTTTAAAAATGTAATTTCAAATGTGTTGGAATTTAACACACACCAAGAAAGTAATTTCGTTAACTAAAATTAATTAATGCAGCAATTTATTTAAATTAAATTTTAAGACTAAGAAAAGAAAATAATAAAAGTATCAAAAATTTAAAACACTGTTTTTTGACTTTTAAAATCAATATATATAGATAAAAAAAATTAGTTGATTTAAATCAATGACTTTTTTAAAAAAATCATTTGATTTAAATCGTGATTTAAATCAAGCTGATTTAAATCAACGAACCCTGCTTACTATTAACTTAAAATGACTGTTTTTTAAACTTCTATGCTAATATGTCATTTTCCTGGCATTCAAGATTTGAATTTCTATTTTTTATTTCCCTCGAGAAAATGCCAATAAACTACACTGCTGTCTGTAAGATATTAATAAATGTAACTAAAGAAGTATACAAAAAAAAACTTAGATTATATTGAAGACTTTAAATTTGAAGAAATTTTTTGGTTCGAATTGTTATCGTTCCAAAGAATCGAATCCCCCATATATATAGAAGAATACTGGTTTTACATTGTCCATTTTGTATGTTATCCTGCTTCCTACATTATATTCTGCTGGTCTGTGAAAATCGCAAACACTTATCCATTACCAACTTAACCCACTGACGGTTCTGCACGTAAAAAGTCGCATTTTAACCTGCAGTCTTCTCTGCATAGCAAAACCGGTTTTCCCATGTTAACTGATAGGGGAACTGTGTGTAGGGGAGAAACATTCTCCCAATTTTGCCCATTTCCTTAACCGCCAGTGGGTTAAATTATCCCAGATTTTAAGTTACCCTTTTTAAGAAAATTCCACTTTATAAGATTTTCTAACAGATCAAAATAATTTTTCTCTACAAAGTTCGAACAATTTTTTTCCTGGGTTTTCTTTTTCTTCTTTCTTATTTCGACTTACTTTCCATTCTACCTTATTGTCCTTTGTCTGTGAGAGGATATTTCCTTCTTGAGTCAAAATCAGAAGAGTGGGGAAGAATCATAAAGGTCCAGGGACAATCTTAGATTTTGTCCCTGGGCCCGAAAAAGATAAAATAATTATGCCATGCTTTGGAGCAGAGTTAAATAAGATGAAAAACTTTCTGCAAATACAAAATCTCAATTAAAAAAATTTCTATGTGCTTTAATTAACTCTTAAAACAAGTTTTAATCCTTATGTAGACACTTCATTTTGGCAAAATTCGTTTGAAAATCAGCAATTTTTTTAAAAATGTTTAATTTTTACAGAACTCTATACTTATCCATAGCACAGGGATAAGTTTGGTAAAAAACCAAAGAAGGCTTAAAATAGAAATACAATATAAAATAGAATAAATTAAAATAAAATAGAAAAATTGAAATAGAAATTTCCTTGTCATTTCCATCTTTGAATTGCTTTATTTTCTGTTATGGGGCCTTGGGGAACTGTCGGTTTTTGGTTTTACCATCAACAGCACAAAGGCTCCAGCATGTTGACAAAATGGTGTGTCTTCTGATGAAGTGCCATTTTTGATAACATGCGTATCTTTAGATTTCGTTTTGCTTGTATTTAAATTCTCATACTTTTATTTATACTGTTTAATTAAGACAATTTTGATTTTAGCTGCTTTTTAAGTACTTTTACATTTCAATTTATTGTTTTTAAATTAAATTTTGCTCTTTGTTTTTGTTTAATTCTATTTTCATACTTTGATTGGATTCATCGCATGTGTCATACTCTTTGGTAAGTTGTTTATCAAGGAAGAAAAGGGGCTGTCTTCCTCCTTTCTACACTTGTTTCATGAACTAGATTTACAATTTTGCTTTTTATAAAATTAAATAATAACTCACCCATGATTAGAGAGAAACTTAAATTTTTCTGGAAGGCACAAGTTTTCTGCATTCAATAGTCTTCGAAAGTTAGAGCAGCTTAAAGATAAATCACTACATATTATAGAGCCCACAATAGCACCATCATCATAGCAGTTTGATTTATCAACAAAACCATCATTTCGCAATTTAATACCAAGAATAACTTGAGAGTTTGAACAACCATTCATAGTTATAAGCCTGTTATGAATAGAAAAAAAAGATTTTTTTAAAAAACATATCTATTGATTTCAAAAGACTGAGAAAATTTAAATAGTTGATACAGTAGAATGCATAATAATGAAGATAGATTTCAAAGTGAAGATATAAACTATTAAACAAAAGTTGGAGTAACCTAAACACAATGACAAAGAAATTTATTTTAAATTCTATGTTAAGTAGTATTGTCGATATTAGTTTAAGTATCAAATTATATTAAACATCAAACTTACTATGTTTGGATTCTTTTGTAAATAATAATTGATAAATTGAACACACCAACTTAGATGTTTTCATCTTTGATACGCAATCAAAAGGTATAGCTTATAATCATGTCTAATATGTGATGTATTTGGTGCAAGTATAATAAAAAAAAAGAAAAAAATTCAGCCAATTAGCCACAATGTCTTCAAATATGTTTAAATGACAAGTGATACTTTTTAACACACAAAAGTAAAAAGCATATTTGCATATTGATCAAAAAAATTTTAAGTCTATGAAAGTTTAGAAAAGAGAAATCGTATGTAAATTTGTGTTACCTTGTTAACACATAAGTAAATTATAAGAAATAAAAAGAATTATTATATCAATAATTAATATTAATTATTAAAAAATATGCTAATAAAGTTTACAGCCTTCTTAAAAAGCTATTCTGTGGCTAAAAATACTTAGATATAAATATATTACTTAGGTCCTTTAATTTTGTAATCATGAACTATTTCCATTTGGAAAAATAAATTTCATTAGATAAAAGAGTAGTTCTTAACCCACTGGCGGTTAAGGAAATGGGCAAAATTGGGAGAATGTTTCTCCCCTACACATAGTCCCCCTATCAGTTAACATGGGAAAACCGGTTTTGCTATGCAGAGAAGACTGCAGGTTAAAATGCGACTTTTTACGTGCAGAACCGTCAGTGGGTTAAGCTTCAAAAAATTTTAGAATTATATATTACATATATGTATACAGTGAAACCTCCTGTTAAGGACACTCCTACAAAATGGATGCCCCTCAATACCGACATATTTTTAATTCCCTGGGAATGAATAAACCATTATATACATTCTCTGCAAAGCGGACAGTCAATTTTGCTCTGAACTGTTATTTTCTATCTCTTTAAATCGGGCACTACTTTTTTCAAATTTGAAAGAAAAAAAACATCCTATTTTTGCTTTAAATTGCAAGAAAAAATGCATTTCACCATTTTTAAAGCAAGTAAATTTTTTGCCTTATCTATCTATAGCTGAAAATATTGTTGAATTATTTCACTACAAAAGAATCAATCTTTCTCCAGTCCCCTCACCTTATCTTTGCAAAGAAAGGAGAGGAAATGATACTGCTCTTGTGAAATAATTCAGACAGCTGCATCTTTTGATCTTTTCATCTGGATGACATAGGTTATGAGATCCCTCAAGTTAAAATGAGGTCTTAATTGTCTCAATGCTTCTTCCGTGCTGAAAACTTCTTTCATTTTCTTATCAATTTGAAGACTGTATTTAACACAGCTGGGGTAAAAAAAAAATTTTTAAAAAAAGAGAAAAGAAGTATAATCATTAACCTGTTCATATAAATGAAACATTTATTCAGACACTTGATAGATGATCAATTGTGAATAAACAACTCCATAGGTCCGCATGACTTAGAGGTATGCATTGCTTTTTTTTCCCTGTGAATCATGGGAGGTTTACTTTCAAATAGGTATTAACCACGTTTCCTATTAAGTGATAGGTAGGTGTTAGGAGATGTAAACCTAATAATTGAAACCAACTGAGGACCAAAAGTTCCTATTCGGTATCATATGTCTAACTTGGATATCTGTGCTATAATAGGAAAATTATATTCTTTTATCTTTAGCTACATCTAGAATTATGCATTTATATCAAGCTTTTTAATATATTCTATTTATCAAAAAAATATTTTGAACAGTTTAAAGAAATATTCCTGTTAATAGTTCTGGTAGATTATTTAATTATTTGTATATCTTTGAAAATATTATAAAAACAATATACGGTGTTAAACTTAAACTTTGTTATTAGGGCACCCTTTCTGTAAATGGAAAACTCTCATAAATTGATAATTTTTCAGTTTCAAGAATGTCCGCTTAACCGAGGTTTCACTGTATATATTGCATATTTATATATATATACCCAAATAATAAGCGCGTAGCTAAAAACAAAATTATCTTTGAATTTCTAGAATAGTCACTGAGTCATTGCTAAATAAAAAATTAGAAAACTAAGAAAAAGTTTTATTGAACTTAAAAAAGTTTATTTTGAATTTAAAATTTTATAAAAAATTATGAGTGTAAAAATACCAAATATAACGTTTTGAAACAATTTGAATAGTATTGCACTGGTGATCAGTCATGTTTCTTCTTACCGTAGCAGTCATTTTTCTCCCTAATCATTCAAGTGAATTCATTTTATATTAGCCAGCATAAGCAAATTATAGCATCTCAACTAAAAATAGTTTGATACATACCAGACATGTATTTAAAAATAAACGCAAATGTGGAATGATGAAAAAGAATCTAGTTAAAAAATAAAAAAAATAGGGTTAGTAAACATAGAATACTGGATGTGATAAGTACCACTATTAACGAAGTAGACAGTTTAATTTAATCTATGTTATATAATTATTTATTCTAGCTTGGTTACTTTTAAACATTATTTTTAGTAAAATAAGATGCTTGAGAGCCATTTTATGATCTTTATTTTACTACAATTGGTCAAGAACATTTCTCAGCAAAAATAGAATTACAAAAATAAATATGACAGAAACATGTTTGAAATAACTCTTTAAATAAATTGAATTTTTCATTGTTGATCAAGTCATGTATTTGTTTGCTGGACTTAAAACTTTCGACATTTCTTGTTTCTTGATCAAGCTATCACTGTTAGTATAAGTTTTAATTAAAAGAGATTCATCCTTCTTAATTTATTAAAAATTTCAAGCAGATTTTCAATTTAAAGTAAATAACTTTCTTTAAAAAATAAAAAAAATTTTAAGTCAAAAAAGATCTTTACTTCAATTTTATCTAAAAAGGATTAATGTTTACAGTTTAATTGCAGCTATTCAAGTGAGAAATTTCTCCTCTCACTATGGTTGGCATTTTCTTGCAGAATTTATCTCCTCACATAGTGAATGACAGGTAACAACAAGGTATTTGCTACACTTGAAATTTTCAAATTCATGACAAATTCCAAGAATTTTTCATGCCTTAACGAAGTTACTACTTCATCTGACAAAAACACAGCAATAAATTTAAAAAAGCATTATAATAACATTAAAATTGAAATGATAGGTGTAACCAAAATCACAGCGAAATTGTAGCAGGAAATTGAGCTAAAAGATGAGTAGAAATGTCACTAATACTGTAAAAATAATTGAAAACATTAAATACATACAATACTTTGTATTCATATTGTTAAGTCAAATTTTTCTTTTAAGCAAATATTGAAAGAAATGTAAAAATATGACAAACATACAATTCAAACAGTAGAATCTACTTTTACAATGTTGTTATTTTTAATTTATTTGCAGGACAATGAGAAGTCAGAATTATTATAAAAGATGAAAGGAAATCTCTTTATTTTGATACTTCATCTTTTACGAACATAAAGTATCAATATAAAAGCGCAGAACTATAAGGTCCTTAAAAGTTTCCACGTTAGACTAATTTATATAAAAAGAGAAGTGAAATGCATGTCTTTTTTTATGTGGGTCCTTATGACATGAAGCATACAATTAAAAAAATCTAAAAATGTCCTTCAGCAACACTTACAAAAACAGAACACACAACACAGTTTCCTATAATAGTCACAGAAAATAGAAATAAAGATTACATTTAATCATCTCACTTAATGTCTTGTCATTTCACCTGAGGCAAAACAATATTAATAGGATTTGCCGGCTACATTAAATTATAAAAACAAATATATTTAAATCAAAACAAACTAAGGTAAACAGTCTTACACTTTAATATAACAGTCACACGCAAATTTTTTTTTGTAAATTTAAACAATAACAATTGCTGAATTTCAAATAAAGCGGAATCACCGGGATTCGTGAATAAAACAAACATGTATAAACAGAGAAAAATTGCGTCATAGTCACATTCCAACATGTTGTAAAGTGGCTTGAAGCTTAGATGGTATTTAAATGGATTACTTTATATAATGGGAAAGGTCACATGATATTGAAAAATCAGTTAATAATGGTGTGTACATAATATGTATAAATAACTAGGTATTTTATCAATATCAGATATTTTTTTAAAAAACATTATATTGTTACATTACAATGCAACGTAACTAAGCGAGTTTTGAAAAAAAATCAGTAATAAATATAAATTATTTCAGTAATAAATATAAGTTCGTAAAAAATTTTGAAATTCAAATTTCAAACCATCATCCATTAATGACAATCGAAATGGGCTGCAGATGGCGTAGAGTAGAACTATGGCAATACTTCGCATGTTTTCCCGATCAGCGTGTGGAGAGTCATAGGAGAAGGAATTACGATAGTTTCTGTCTTGATTTTCAAATACATTTAAAACTTTTAAGATAGGAAACTATATGGAACTGAAAACTGCATGAAGCATAGCTTTAAGAAAAAGCGCAATGAAAATTTTAAAAACGTTTTTAACATTTAAATACGAAAAGTATTAAGAAAAGGAAAAATATTGTTGTACATTCCTATGCAACTGAAAAGTGGAGGAGAGGGAAGGGAGAAAAGCCAATAAAGGCAGGGAACCGGTTTTCTCCCCAGATAGCGTATTCTAGAACTGCGATCGCCTATATTGAACTGAAAACTACATTAAACATAGTTCCAGGAGAAAGCGACGAGGATATTTAAAAAAAAGATATTTGTGACAATTAGATACGAAAAATATCAAGAAAGGGGAAAAATACGAGGAGGAGAGGGAACGGTTACGCCATGAAACCGGTCTTCTCCCCAGATGGCGTATTCGAGCGTTGCAATTGCGAATATATATAATATAAACTATAAATGGCCATTCGTCCAAATTAGAATAGTTAGAAAAATTAAATTCTTTTATCATCAACTTCTTTCTTTTATCAATTTTCAAACTCTAAATAATAAAATTCCTTTAAACACGTGATCATTGCTCAAATATTGGACTTTTTTGTTTTTCAGAAAACACAAAAGAACAAATAAATTCATAAATGTTTTTATTAGTATGCAACATGATATTAACGCTCGCATTCGCCCTCTGGGGAGAAGATCGGATCGATGTCTTGATCCTCCCCTTCCCTCTCCTCCTTTTCTAAGTTGCATAGGAATGTACTACGATATTTTCCCATTGCTTAATTTTTTCATATTTAAGTAGCAAAAAAAAATTTTTTTTTGAAAATTTCCACGACGATTTTCTTAATAATTATGTTAAATGTAGTTTTTAGTTCCATATAGTTTCCTAACTTAAAATTTTTTAATCTATTTGAAAATAAATACAGAAACTCACGTACTTCCCTCTCCTATGACTCTCCACAAGCTTATGGTGGAACGATGCGAAGAGTGTTGTCTTAAGTTGAGAATTCTACTCTATGCCACCTATAGCCCATTTCGATCGCCAATACAACTGGAATGCGAAGGAAAGGGAAAGAGGAAAGATCTTTACCCCGGGTGACGTATTCGAGGGCTGTGATCGCGAATAGTTAAGCCTCTGGCTTGAACATATCTTTCAAACAATGAAATAAATTCCAAATAAATATCGCAGTGCAAAAAATCATAAAAAAATTCATGAAGTGTTCAATCTTATAATAGAGTTTAAATGCTCTGGACTTTGCGTGAATGGATGGTTGACCCTGTAAAGCTAAGTGCAGATAGAAAATAACAGGTGGTCAAAACATGACGTCAGGCTTCCGGGTTACTATTTCTGACTAAATTGCACACATACGCTTGAAAAAACGCGACATCCAATATTATTATACTTGTAGTGTTTTCATTATAACGCGTTCCTTCAATTTAACTTTCAATGAAAGAAACAACAATTGAGTTTAGAAGACTCCACAAACTTGGTATGATGCTACCCAGAATTTAATAAACGGCTCTATTTTACACAAATATATATAATAAGGGATAAGTCTCAAAAAAGGGCAAACCTTCCACTTTATTTATGCTGTGATATTAATTTTGCTAAATTTGTTTTAGGGTCATGACACGTTGTGGAGTTTATTAATTACAGAAAACTCTTATGAATGGTAAAACAACGCGTAAATTTAAATACCAATCAATTTAATAAAACTTTCTAGAATAATAAGCCTGCTCACATAATATCTCTTAAGCATAACATAAGTGGAATAATACTCCAGAAGTTTTCTTAACTTCTTCCGGTTTCAGGAAACTGCGTTTTGCGGTTGTTCTGCGATTGTTTGCTTGCAGTCCATTGGATTCAATAAGATTCTTTTCTTTTACAAAAATTATCTATAAATATTTAATATACAATGGATATCATAAATTAAGGAAAAATTTCAAACAGAGTGATAACTCTCCCAAAATTAAGCAAATTCCGATGAAATATGAATATGAATTGCTAAGTAAAAACTGCAATATGTAAACTATTATATAGTAACTATAGTAAACTATGTAACTTCCATTGCAGTGCCGATAGCTGCACTACAGTAAAATTTTCTTCAAATTAATAAAATAATAAAAAATAATTATTATAATGTAATAATTATTTTTTATTGGAATTATTATTTTTATTATAATAATATTTTTTATTATAATAATATATTTTTCTATTATAATAATAATAATTTAAACCAGCAAACAGAAAAGAAGAGTTTTTATATTTTTTTCATTTAAATTGTGTCAAGTATTAAGATATGTATTACTTATACAGAATTGCATATAATTCGATTTGTATATAATTCGATTTAATAAAAAGGAATTTTAATTAATAATAAAACTAAACAAAAGATACATTTTAGTAAAACATCAAACTGCATGTTTAGATTATAATAAATAAAATTACTACACTTATTCCTTGGAATTTATTTTAAGCATTGCAGTACAAAGTAATACAAGTAAAAAACAAAAATCTTATGACCTGATTCAATGGAAAAAGTAATTAAATAAATAAATAAACACAAAACAACAAACATTTTTGAGTCCAAAATACTATATATTATTTAAAAGCTATTGAAAAGCTGCGTCTTAGTTTCAGCTATACGTTTACCGGTCGGACAGAACTCGTGACGTCACAAGTAAACATAAGCTAGTTCTTCGGCTTCTCCCCTTCCAGTTGGCCATGACCTCACCGTGCAGTATTGCTATTTCGCTAACCTTTCTAATGCGTATAAATCCCGTTATAACATTCGATTTATACTCTTGCTGTCTTTCGTAAAATTTTGCTATCTGTTTTTCAAACTAAAAAAAGTTTTTAATCCGTTCTTTGTATTTACTAGGAAACCCACATATTTAGTTAAATAAATAAATAAATTCCACCACCTCGTAAAAATGGATATATCCGAGTGTAGAATGTTTAAATCACTTTAAAATAAACATTTAAAACCATCATTCATGTCCTTTTAACCCTTCTTACTATTGAGAAATTATGTAAGCATAGAAAATAATTAACAATCACCTAACTCCAATCAACATTTAAATAAACTCTCTTTTTAAATAAACTGTATAAGTATAAACAGATTATTACCCTTCTATTTAGTAAGAGGCAAAGACATTTAAAGGATAAAATTATCAAATAAATTTTAACAAGATTGATAGCTTTGAAGATCGTTTTGGTAATTTTATCATGATACTTAAGAGAATGGCATAAAAATCCTTTATTTTAAATACGATACTTTTGAGATTTTAATTTGTTACTAAATGTACTGTTATAAGAAAGATAATTTTGAAAAGTAAAATGTCCAGTAAACCGTAAAAACAGCGAACGATAAAGTTTAGATATGAATAGTTTAAAAACCATATATTTTGATTTAATTCTTAGAATTATGGATTGTTTCCCCAGAACTGTCTTTAACATATGGTGATTTTGAAAGAATCTTTTATTCTCCGTGTGCTGTTCACATTCAACTTTTTTCAAATTTCTCATTCTGACTGGTCACTAGGCCAACATGTGTGCAAAACTCATAAAATGGATAATCCAGGGTATTATTTTACTTACTAACAAATGCTTGAGAACTTTGTCAAACATTATAATAGAAATAGGTAACAATTCCTTAAATTAAACAGCAATATATAGACGGGTTATAATATTTTTTGGATAACTGCTCTGTGAGGAAATCAATCAAGAGGCAGGGATCAAAAGCAAATAAATATATCTGAAACTTGATGTTTATCAAGAACCTTTGGTATATTTAGCCTCTTAAAAAATAAAAATAACATTTAATGAAAGATTGTAATCAGAAGAAAGATTTTTTAATCATCTGAGCAAAATATTACAAAAAACAAAACGAGGGAAAAGAGTAGAAAAGGAAAACTTTTTTCTTTTGATTTCTTTGTTACAAGCATAGAGCTGTAATAGTTCACCTGTATGCTATCTTTTGTAAGAAGCATATACAAATAATTTTAAATAAAACTTAACAAAACAGTAAAAGAATTGAATTTAAAGAAATAAATGAGTACAAAAGTATAATCATTCCTGAATGGTCAAAATAATTCTTAAAAAATTTATTATTTCTAAATTTCTAGTAATTAATAAGCACAAGCACAGCAAAAAAAATTATATATATAATTAAGANTATATATATATATATATATATATATATATATATATATATATATATATATATATATATATATATATATATATATATATATATATATATATATATATATATATATATATATATATATATATATATATATATATATATATATATATATATATATATATATATATATATATATATATATATATATATATATATATATATATATATATATATATATATATATATATATATATATATATATATATATATATATATATATATATATATATATATATATATATATATATATATATATATATATATATATATATATATATATATATATATATATATATATATATATATATATATATATATATATATATATATATAT